TTTCAGGAAAAGCACAAGCCTAGGAATATATTGTTGTATAATATTTAAATCATTTCAAAACAGAATTCCTTGAGATGACGTCATCAAATTGTTGGTAAGGATGATTAGCCAAATTTTGGTTTGCGTTTAACCATGTCCATGACATTCCGAATATACGTAAAAAATTTCGCTACAATCGGTCTGGTGGCTTCGGAGATTACGTGTCCAATGAAAATCGACACAGACACCAGAAAGACAGACAGACAGAAACGGGGGATCACTTTTTTCGTACATGAATCGTCTAGAAAACATGAAACTGGCAAATCGCCCGATGGACTCGATTACTATTAGGTATGTCTTCCTTAGCTTACCCTTGGAAAGTAAACATTTTAAGAAAACTAATTAAACAAAGTAAACTGTGGTTGTAAAGCCGAAGAGGAGGTCAATTAAAATATATAAAAATATATAGGGTGTTTCATTAAAAACAAGTTTTGTGTAACGCCTTAAAACCGGAACACTTTGTATAGTTAAATATAATTTTAAAACATACCGGGTGTCTGGAAAATGTCGGATTAACTCTCCGCTACGCTCTTAACAATCAACTGGTGAGTCTGGGAAAAATAGTAGAAAAATGGTGTTTTATTTCCGGGTAGATTTAAAGGAATCTGATGTTTTGTTGCTGGATGAACTTAAAAAGATCTTTTGAGCATTAGTGTTTTATTTTTTACGAATGTGAAAAAGTCTTGAGTGTCGCAGTGTTTTTTTTTTATTTGGGAGACTCTTGGATACCCATAGAGTATTACTTTGGAAGCCCATGGAGATTTTTTTTGCACTCTTTTTTCTTAAGGGGTGTCTCATTTGAAAAATCAGTTTTATCTTAGCAAGTACTAGGCCCGCCCACCCGCCCTCTCTTTTCTTAGAGGGTATATCATTTTCTAGAATCATTCTTATCTTAGCAGGTACTAACCCCAGCCGCCCGCCCTCCATTTTCTTAGAGAATATGTCACTGGCCAAAATCAGTCTTCACAGGTCCTAGCCCTACCCACCCGCCCTCTCTTTTCTTAGAGGTTATCTCATTTGCAAAATCAGTTTTATCTTAGCAGGTACTAGGCCCGCCCACCCGCCCTCTCTTTTCTTAGAAGGTATCTCATTTGCCAAAATCACTCTTATCTTAGCAGGTATTAGCCCCGCCCACCCACCCTCTCTTTTCTTATAGGGTATATCATCTGCCAAAATCACTCTTATCTTAGCAAGTACTAGGCCCGCCCACCTGTCCTCTCTTTTCTTAGAGGGTATCTCATTTGCCGGAAAGGAAAAAATTTATTTTGACCAGAAACATTCGTAGCAGGTACCCTCTTCTTTACAATAGACGCAGACCACTCTTTTTTTTTAAATACTTACGTTCTTAGGCCCTTATTTTTTACTTGTTGTATTGTTTAAAGCTTGTTTCTCTATACATTGCTATCAAAATTTTCCTTTATTTTCAATTTCTTTTAAGTTTTGTAGATGCAGACTTCTATTAATTTGGATGTATTTAAAAATGATTCAAAATGAGGTTAATTGTTTAGGACGCGATAACCAGCAGCGAGTACCCTCTTCTTCATTCAACGCACTTCTGTTTATTTCTTGTTTGAATAAATTTTGGAACTCAATGTCTCTCAGCAAGTAATTTAGCACTCTCGGCTACGCCTCGGGTATAAACAGCACCTTTCGTCATAAAATTTAATTTTTACTGATTTGAAAGACGTTTAAATGGATTTTTAAATTATGACTTTCATTTTTCCGTATAAATTTCTATCCCGGGTGTCTGAAAAATGATGTGGTTGTGTTTTTTTTTTGTAATAATTTGATAAAATTCCGTTTGACAACACTGTTTGGCGTATCAAAAATTGTCAAAGTTTTCAAAACCCACGTTTAAAATGTTCACGGTTAATTTTAGGTTCCTTGGTGTATTTTTTTCGGATAAATTTAAAGAAATCTGATGTTTTGTTGCTGGATGAACTTGAAAAAATCTTTTCAGTTTTTAGTGTTTTCTTTTTTACGAATTTGAAAAACTCTTGAGTGTTTTTTTTTTAATTCGGGAGACCCTTGTGTACCCATGCTCTATGAATTCGGAAACCCATGGAGATTTTGTTGGAACACCGTTATTTTTTGAAAAATTTAAAATATTCTAGAGGTTCTAGCTATCCTTGTTTGGAAAGAATTTAAAAGTGCTTTGGAGCCTGAAGTGTCTTTTCTTATAATCATTTAATTAAATTTCTTAGAGGGTATCTCATTTGCCAAAATCACTCTTATCTTAGCAGGTATTAACCCCGCCCACCCACCCTCTCCTTTTTTATAGGGTATATCATCTGCCAAAGTCACTTTTATCTTAGCAGGTAGAAAAAGACCGTAGAAAAGTGCAGCAGAATTCATAATATAATATCGTGGACTGACGGGGGGATTAAAGATTTCTCTGCTTAGACAATTACGTCGCAACGTGAATAATTACATCACCGAGGAGCTTTCCTCGCAACGCCTAATGTATTTTGTGTTTATTTATCATGTGTTTTTTTGGGGATAAACAGTCCCCGATATAAACCCCCAAAACAAATTGTTTTAAGTAACCCATCACTTGGATCATGGCATAATGTAACATCATATAAATTCTTTGTTTGAATCGTTGATAAAATATGGTGGTTGTTAAAAATTTCACAAGATTATATGGCGAATTTAAATGTTGTTTATCGCTCTTTTTGAAACTTTAACACTTGTTCAGTTGTCGTTAATACTAGAGTTATAAGATTTGAACATTTAAATGGCATTGAGGCTAAATAACGCAATAACACGTAGTCGAAGCGGAGTGCGCGGTTCCTAGTCGAGCTGGCGGGATTTATCGCGCCATTTGCACAAGAGATGCAGGTTAGAATAGAATTCTAGATGATGTAACGCTGTCGACGTGGCCCAATAGTCGAAACCCACTCTTGTGGTGCTGGGCGACAGTGCTTGCGTTAGATAGAATCACCATCTTGGGTAGGAGAACAGCCACGACCGGGAGCCCCAAACTCCGCTCGCGCTACAACGCCCCTTATGGGTATTTTTGCTGTGCTCTATAATGAAACGGAAATAGTTCGATCGCCACACTGTTATAGCGCTCTGGTGCCGCTACCGCTGCATAGTTTGTTATTAAAATTGTGTCCTTTTAATGACTGCCATTGTTTTAAATTTACCACCACACGTCTGTAATAACTTTACTAAGGATTTCGCTTTGCTCTTATTAAATGTGTGATATTCAAATATTAGCATTGATTCAGAACGTTTAATTTGATTTCATTCCAAGTCACTCAAAGTTTTTTTTGTAACTGAACTCTTATTCACAGCTTTTTTTTTCTTTTTTTTTGTCAGTGGAGGAATACATAATTTTGTATCCTCCATAAATTTTGTGTTTTATTTAGCGGTACTTTTCCCAATTTGGGGTCCACAATTTGCATCGGAACGCATCACGCCATTTTTCAAAAACACAACGTAGGGTTCCATTTTGTCAGACGATCACCGCCAAGGATAAATTTTGAATTCTTGAATTTTTCGCGGGCTTTCAATTTTTTTCACATATCGATTTAAGGCGGGATGTTTGAGTTATTTCAATCTAAACAGATACTGGCCCCGCCCACCCACCCTCTCTTTTCTTAAAGGATATCATTTGCCAAATATTAGCAGGTAATAAGACTGATTTTGGAAAATGACGTATCCTGCCAGAAATTTAATTAAATTATTATAAGAAACGACACTAGAGGCTCCAAAGCATTTTTTATTTTTTTCCAAACCGAAATACCTTGAACTTCAGGATTGTTTTAAATTTTTCAAACAAAAAACTGGATCCCAGAATTAACTCAAAAGCAGGTCTGTTACGATTCTTCCAAAAATAGAACACCAAAGTGCCCTAAAATTGTTTTAAATAATTTGCAAAAAAATCTCCATGGGTACCCAAACACTGCGGCACTCAAGATTTTTTCAAGTTCAACCAGCAACATAACACCAGATTCCTTTAAATTTATCCGAAAATAAAACACCAGGGGACCTAAAATGCGAACATTTTAGACGTAGAGTTTTGAAAACTTTGTCAATTTTTGATACGTCAAACATTTTTAACTGCTTACTCGATTTTTGCTGATTTGTACCTTCGCTTTATGTCAGGCAAGCATTATTGTCAAATAGCAAAAGGACCAATTTTCCGGACACCCGGTATATCGTTTTTTATGCGTCCGTTATATTTTTAGGAGTATTTATTGCATTTGCAATTGTAACATCTTGGATATCGAAAAATCTAAATAATTGCATCAAAAAAAAGGAAGTAGACTGTTTCAGTTCAAATAATAAAAAAAATAATGCATCACTACCAAAGTGTTATGACTATGAGTCATACGTTAAATGTTGATATTTCTGTAAAAATAGCGTCACATATGTGACGTGTAAACAGTAAGTTTCACGCAAAATCCTGTTATCTTCTTTGAAACAGATGATCTGAGACGAACTTTTCCATGATAATCACAATTTTATCATGTGCAATTAAACGAAAACGGAGACCATCAGTCGAACATTTTTAGAAAAACTTAAGTTACAATTTTTTTCTTATCTCGAAAATATTACAATTAAACTAATACCTTGTAGATATATTTTGGTCAAGTGACTAATTCATCAAAAATGTTTCAATTCCTAAGAACCACTTAACTTAGTAGTTAGAGATGATTTATTGGAAGCTAATAACAAATTTATGATAAGAGATAACGATGACACGTTGCCAGAAATCTGAGTGTCTCTTATTGTTTGGGTGTTTACATAACGCAGAATTCAAGGTTTAAATTTTTCCAACGCGTGGAGATACTGTTTTTTTTTTCTCAATTTTGCCAAGCCTATTTTTATACGAGTACTTTGTTAGTTTGAGAGTACCTTTTGCTTCACAATAAGTACTATACCAATCATTGCCAAGGCTTACAAATATTTGTCGTGATAAAAACCAGGTGATTGTTGAATGAGCCACAGCATGATTTTCTGTAAACTTTAATCACTTATATTTACAAAAGCTACGTGTATTGTCGTTTCTTAATGGCAAGTCGTATGTACCAAGCCAAAATCGCAGTCACCAGCTACAAAAAAAAAGAAAAATAACCAACGAAATCAAACCCGACCTCCTTACCAAAACCGGCGAAAACCCAATGGCCACCCCTCCAATCACCCCCACGTTTTTCTGAATAGTGGCGGAATACACCCCCCCGCACCCCTTTTCGTACGGATTCGTACAAGGATCCTTCATTTCCGCACAACAACTAATCGGCAGAGGCTTATTGAACATGTTCTTCCACCAACTAGGTCCAGTAGCGCCGCAGCAACGAAACTAAAACACCTTTACCAACCACCGACTCCCAAACACAAACTTACGTTTTTCTGAATGTGGTTGATCCGTTTCACCGCAGAGTCGTCGTTAATCCGCACGAAGAGCTTCTCTACCGCTTTCTCCGTTTCGTCGTCGTCTTTGTTGCCAGCGCTCACCAGACCTAGTGCTATGGCTCCAAGGACGATTTGGACGATGAAGAGCATGATGAGGAAGATAGCGTACTACAAAAAAGATTGGAATGAAGAGGAGATAAGTTATTACTTACGTAAATTAAGTAGCTGGGTTTGCGTTTGAACAGGGCCCACAGGCCCCAAGTGGCCATGCTCAGACCCAAGACGCCGATGCCGATGCCGAAACCCCCGATGGATAAGTGAGCGAAGCTCTTGACGCCTTTGTGTTCGTCCACCTCGAGGATGGCACCAAAGGCGAGGAGGATGGCACCGCAGAACTGAAAGCTTGATTGGGGTGGGTGGTGCTGGGGTGGATACGTACTTACAGCGATGACGACGTTCAAAGCCAGGAAAACCAGGTATTTCGTGACTTCAGGAACACCCATTTTGGCTGCTACTGGTGAAATATTGGTGTTTGCGGGTGATGTGAAGGTGATTTATGGCTTTTGTTTGATCAGACTATCAAGGTTAGTCTGCTGGCGTAATTTACGTGGGGCTAACGCAGTGGCGGAGGTATAAAAAAACATCAATGTTAAAACAAAGACAATGTTTTTTTTCAGAGAACACATTCCGCCATTTTGTTTCATTTGACTGTTTTAAAAATAAATATTGCGCAATAAATATGAAACACCTAAAAACCACTTCCGGCAATCTTTATTTAGGTTAATTATCAGTTGGGTTTGCCATGAATATCAGTTCTATTTGCAGGACAGGTGAAGATAAGGATAACACAACAAGTGTCAGTTTATTACCAACTCTGACATTATGTGTTTTATCAAAGAAACTATAAAATTCGCCGTTTTAGCCTTTGGTATAATTTTTCTGGTAAGACGTTATTTATGACATAGACGAAAGGCAACGCCCTGTATTATCTCCGTTATCAGTCCAACTTCCCATTATCTATTTTTGTAGTTGACAGGTGTGGCACTCGTTTCGATCGGTGCCATCTACGAAATCACGTTCAAAGAGCTGAGTATCGTTATTCCAAAATCGTACGACCAACTCTTCTTCATTCCTCATCTGACGGTAGCCGCTGGGGTCCTCATCACTCTCTCTACGTGTTTTGGATGTGGAGGTGCCCTCTCCAACAACCGCTATCTTCTATTCACAGTAAGTCTTTTCATCACTCAACTCAACTCAAAATTGTCAATGGTTCCAGTACGCCGTTCTTCTAATTTGCGTCTTCTTCTTGCAACTGTCCATCGGTATCTTCACGTTCTTGGTAGTCCACGACAAAGAAGACTTATCTAAGAGCGTCAACACAACAACAACTGAGGTCTTCCAGGCTCAGAATGATCCCCGTTTTATCGATTTGCTCCAAGCCGAACTTCACTGTTGTGGAACTTACGGACCCACTTTCTGGAACGAAACGAAGAATCTTCCCTTTCCGCCAAGTTGTTGCACTAGTGACGACTGCAGAGACGTGCACTCACAAGGGTGCCAAACTGCCGTTTTTGTTTTCTTGACAGAGGCGGCACGAGTTGTGGGAATCGCAGTTTTAGCTTTTTCTGTAGCCGAAGTAATTTTTGTTATGTTGGTACAAGGATAAGTTTATTGGAGATGGTTTTGTAGGTAGCGGGGGCTATTCTGACGTTGTACATGGGAAACTTGGTCAAACACAGAAGTAGGAAAAAATACACGGAGGTGATGTTTGAAGAGGAATAATGGAGTTATTGAAGATTTTTATGACAAAAAACAAACTACTGAAACATTTACACAATGTATTTTATGACTGAAACAATTAAGTGCAGTTACATCTACCCTCTATACAAACTCCAATTAAAGTCGAATGTTGAAATCTGCAGTATAATTTACACAAACTTACGTCGCAGTTCATCTGTCTTTTAAAACGAAAATCTGAAGTACGATATTGCAGTTACCGAATTTGCAAAAATTTTAGTACTTACGTATATTGAGTGCAACTGTTGGTACCACTGTTGAAAATGCAAGGCAGACTATTGCAAAAATAAGCATTCGATTCAAAATTTTCATTTTCGTTTCGACTCTTCAACCTGACATTGAACACTGACTTCTTGTTGTGATACGTTACTTAAATAATTTTCTAATCAACAATAGAAAGTAAACATTTTGATTGAACGTCAAAATATGCTTATATTTTTTAAATTAATTACAAGTAAAGATTTGATAATTTATTGCGTATTTGAGATAAGAGTGGAATACGTAATTATATTATATAATTGTGCAAATTATACACGCGATAAAAACATTTTTCACACAAAAATAGCTAATACAATTTCAAGAATATTCTGAAACGTAATTAACGTATCGATAGAGGAAACAACTTTGCAAAAAATAACAATTCAAGGAAAGATACGATTCACAGTAAATAAAATTCGAACTCCGACAACAACAACTGTACAAAAACAAGGACGCCGAGATAAATGCGTATAATGTTAAAAAAGTGAACAATTTTCATAATACATGTACCTGTGCTGTCCGGATTTAATTTTAAATTTCGCGCCGAGAAAAAATATTACCCTTTAAATTGTATCTGCTAAGATAAAACTGATTTTGGCAAATGAGAGCTGATGACGAACTTTTAGAAAAAATGAACAAAATTTGGAAACATTACGAGCTTATTTATATGCACAAGGCAGGAATTTTGAACATTCGTTTAGTTGGTTATGCTTTAATGGATTTTTCTTTTGATGTTTCTACTTTTGTTTATAATTTATAAATGTCTTATTTAAATGTGTTTTTTTGGACTCTCGAAACGACCCTACATAACGTACTGAAGAATTAATCTGATATTTTCCAGACAACCGTGTAAATATTAAATAAAAGCTTCTTTTTACTTTCAGAGCGTAAACTCCGTACGAAACAATAGGTCTCCCGTTTCCGTCTGTCTATCTGTCTGTCTGTATGTCTGTCTGTCTGTCTGTCTGCCGTCTGTCCAGATTTTTACTATACAGATAATCTCCGAAACTACTGAACCAGTTGTGAAATTTTATATGTGTATTACGAATATCGTGTAGATGATCAAAAATTGACTAATCATCCCTACCACCAATTTGTTGACGTCATCTCCAAAATTTACGTAGTAAATATTATTTGGATTTTATAAAATAGCATACTCCTGCACATGCAGTTTAAGAACTTGTGTTGAATTTATATCCTAGACTTCCAGATTTGTGGAAAAAAAATCAAAATTACAACATCTTGTAACTTAACTTTGAAACTGTAAAACCCAATGCTCTGAAATCCTGTAAACATTCCAAAAGCATTTATTATTTCGAATCCAATTCTCATCTGAATGACTCGGGTTTAAGGATTGGATTATTGGATGCTTTAGATGAAATTTCTAAACTGAAATCAGTGGAAAGTAAAATGTTTTTTTTTCATCTACTTAAGGAAGCTTTTTTACTTGTTTTTTCCTCTATTTTAAGGTACTTTATCATGTTTTTAAGTAAACAGGCCAATTTTGACGTAGAGGTTTTTTGTTGCTTTTTTATAAAATAAAAAAAGACAAATTTTGTAGTACAGTTTGTTTAATGCATTTTTTTTTAAAACTTGTGGATTTCTAAAGATTTACGTACGTACGTTCCACCCCACTTTTTTTCCAACTATTGAAGCGTTTTCTACCTGTTTCTTCATCTATGTATTTTTAAATTTAGGAACATGGTAAATCGTTAGTCAAAATTTGTCTGTCTTCTTACACTTTTGCCTAATTTCTTCAAATTTATGAGTGTTTTTTGGAAAAAACCAAGTATGAATTAATTAATCAGTCCTTTCCTATCCGTTGAGGACACAAAATAAACCAAATTTCATTTTCTTTTAATAGCTGATGTTTGTGCTAGTAGTCGAATTCGGCCGAAGCATCAACATAAACAGTCGAAGTTAAGCATATACTGAGAAATTGAAATTGTCCACATTTTTCCCGTTAGTTATCTGCTTAAAATATATTTCATATTTAAAGACGTAGGGGCTGCGGGGATGTTAATTACGCCACTTTATAGAGCTATGTTTGTCTTGGTAGCGTTATGAGAATTTCAAAACCAACATAATTTTTTCAAAACGCCAATGTCGCTAGGAAAACTGAAAATAATAGTAATAATCATTCGACACTGCTCTTTAACATTTTCATGTGAATGTTTATCTGCAGTACCGAATTTTCAACCCTCGTGAATCAGGCCGTCTAGTTGGCTGTGTCCTTCGCGGGATGGATAACCACTTCTACAGTATCAAGAAAATTTATTTTTAACACAGAGAAATATCACTTATATAATTATTAATACTCAGTACTTAGTGCACCTGCATTGACAAAACGAAAAACTAATTATAAAAAAACAAACTTAACAAATTAGAGACAAGTACAAGTTTTAAAACTACACAGTCCCACATTAGGAAAACGGCAACAGTCGGAGCAGTGTCCATTGATGGTACACCGGCGATTCACGCAAGATGGTTTAACCGAAGCACGTGCAAATCTTCGTAAAACTGTAACGAGAAAAATGCGCATTAAACAAAATCAATGTAATTATAATTATCTTACCTTTTTGCTCTTCTGCATCAGAGCACGAGATAGTATTGATCAAAAATACCGCCAAAACTAAAGCAATAATTACAGCGGACTTCATTGTGAGTGAATTCAAGTTCTGAAGACTCGGTCGTGTCGTGAAAGCAACTCGAATGATGCTGCAGAACTGTTGCCGGCGTTTATATATTTGAAATGAGGCCATTTGAACAAGGGGATTCCTCGAGTTCATAGAAATGCAGTTCTGCTTTACCACTCGAGACTATTCTCAGAGGTTAACGTACCATGTGTTACCGTTGGTTAAAAAATCGGTATTATACAAGAGTCTCGTGGGATTGGGTAATTCACCTGGTTCAAGCAAAATTTTGGAATGACGTCAGTGAATTTTAAGTGGGGTGAAAACACAATAGTAGATAATTAAAACTTCATTTAGTCTAAAGCTCATCCACCTCTTGCAAATAACAACACAGAAACTCATATTTCTAGTTCTCTTCTAAGTTCGCTCCAATATGAGGTAAAATCCTGGTGAAACTCAGCATATTCGTCCACCTGTTCGCAAGCCACTCCAACCTCAGATCCTTCCCTTATTAAATATTCGATCATTTCTTTGTCACATCTTTCCCGTATGGCATAATACAATGCTCCGTACCCTTCCTTATCAACTAAATTAACACAAGCTCCTTTTTCAACCAAGTAGCGAACCATGTCAAAATTACGTTTTTTGACAGCGCAAATGAGCGCCGTTGCTCCCAGGAAACTATCATCACCTCGATGTTCTGACAAGTACCTCGCTTTGCTGGTTCCACACAACATTATAAAATTAGAATAAACATCGTTGACCAAGTCTAAAACAAAACCTGTGTCCACCAAATACTTAAATATTTCAAAATGGTCGTGAATTATTGCCAACGTTAGGGCGTTATGTCCCAGAAAATCTCTTTCGTATTTATCTTCTGCTTGTATCCACGACTGCTTCACCTGTTCTAAGTTTCCACTTTTTGCACCACGAAGTAAGGACTCAGAGAAGCGCTAGAACATATTTTTCGAAAAAATATCGATTCGAACTAAAAACAGTGACTTACTTCTGACATTTTTTAAATTTTTGGGTGTTTTCCAGTTGAAAAATAACATTATCAGATAACAGATAACAACTAATCGATGGTTTTGCAACTGATTGTTCGGTATTGACTGGTGACTTGATATGAGGTAGGTTCATCGAAGGTAAATTAATGTGAAGTTTCATTGAGTCTAGGAGTAACATTTTGATGTCACTTGTAACTGCTATAGGGCATGTTGGCGTTATCTGGTCAAACCTTTCTTTGTCAAGATAATGCCAACGTGGTTAGAGAAACGCGTTGACCACTTTGGAGACAGTGAAGACATCGCTGTTTTGTTGATGAATGCATATTCAAAAAAAAGATCACTTACACTTGTGTAAAGTATAAAATCTACAATATATTCGAAGGTATTATCATAGTGTGATAAAAATAATTTGAATGGCATTTAAATAACTTGGAATTCGCTTGACTTTCCTTTAATTATAGCATTTTTGTATTGGTTTATCAGGAAATTGCATAATTAAACTAAGTGCTTTTCCAAGACAAAATATACTGATAAGTAATAACAAATATCACTATCAATGTATCAGGTAATGCAGAATGTGAAACACGTGCGAATTAATTACCTCATGTATTATATTAGTATTTTTCGTCTTTTTTGTCCTTTTTCGTCTTTACCCGTCTGCTTCGTTCTTTTCGTCCTTTTTCGTCCCTTTTCGTCCCTTTTCGTCCTTTTTCGTCCTTTATCGTTCTTTACCGTCGGTGTCGTCCTTTTTCGTCCGTTTTCGTCCTTTCTCATCCTTCCTGGTCCTTTTCGTCGTTGTCGCCCTTTTTCCTCCTATTCGTCCTTTTCGTCTTTATTTGTCCTTTTCGTTATTTTCGTCATTTTCGTCCTTTTCGTCTTTTTCTTGAAAACAGTGCTATGAAAATGTTAGATTTTATATTACGGATCTGCAAGGATCTTGATAGCATCCAGACCTTGTAAGATTTGTATTATTCCCTTGTTAGGACGAAGCTTGAATATTGCTCTCTGGCCTGGTTTCCATACTACAGATATCAATGCACTTCCCTTGAAAACATCCAGAGGAAATTCTGAAGTATCTTTATTTCAAGGAATTGAAACAGTGGCCAGTGAGGAATTGTGCTCAAAATTTTTTGTTAGACAAATTTGCAGTGAGATCGCCAAGTTGTCGTAGGATTAATAGTGATATTGTGTTTTTGTATAAATTGTTACATGGTAAGTTAGACTGTTGCGATTTGCTAAGTAAGCTAAACTTTTATGTTCCGCGGATGAACAGTAGACTTAGGGTCACCTTGTACTGTCACACTCCACGCACTAATGTAGGTAGGAAAAGTTTATATTATCATATATTTACTAATAAATAAATTGGAATTGAGTAGAGATATTGATATTTTCAACTGCAGCTTAAGAACTTTAAATCAAACAGTTGAGAATACATGTAATTCTATTGTTTAATTCTTAAGTTAAGTTGAGATGTTTTGATTAATTTTTATATTTTCATATATATAATCGTCCTATTAATGGAACATTGTATTCTGTTGGGCAATAAATTTTATCTTATCTTATCTTATCTTATCTATTCGTTCTTTTTCGTCGTTTTTCGTCCTTGTTGGTCTTTTTTCGTCCTTTCTCGTCGTTTTTCGTCCTAGTCGTCCTTATTCGTCCTTTTTCGTCCTTTTCATCCTCTTTCTCCCTTAGTCGTCCTTTTCGCCCTTTTCGTCCTTTTTCGTCCTATTCATCCTTTTCGTCCTTATTTGTACTTTTCGTTATTTTCGTCCTTTTCGTGTTTTTTCGTCCATTTCGTCCTTTTTCGTCCGTTTCGTGCTTGTCATCTTTTTTCTTCCCTTTCGCCCTTTTCATCATTATTAGTCTTTTTCGTCATTTTCGTCCTTTTCGTCCTTTGTCGTTCTTTTTCGTCCCTTTTCGTCCTTTTTCGTTCTCTTTCGTCCTTTTCGTCCTTGTCGTCCTTTTTCATCCTATTCGTCCTTTCCGTCCTTATTAGTCCTTTTCGCTATTTTCGTCCTTTTCACCCTTTCCGTCCTTTTTCGTCCTTTTTCGTCCTGTTTCGTCCGTTTTCGTCCTTTTTCGTCCTTATCGTCCTTTTTCTTATTTTATAAAATTTACAAAATATGTACTGTAAACTTTGGAGATGATGTCAACAAATTGTTGGTAGGGATTGTTAGCCAAATTTGGATCGATATTCGTAATACACTTTATTGACGCAATTTTAAATCTTCAGGATTAGAGCAACTTGCCCGTTTCAGACGCGTCCCTAAAACTAATAGCTGCAACGACCGTTTGTGCAGAATCGAGTGTAAATCGAGGCATCCCTCCTACTCTGGAAGATGTGTCAACGGACAATGTGATTGTTCTTAAAATGATATATGCGAATTTAATAAACAATGTTTAAAGTTACATCAATGGTTTTATTTTTAAAACGGGCCAAGCAAACCTGATCCAATTGTGTTCTCTTTTATAATACTTGAGTGCACCTATTTCCAATGAAATATGCGTAAGTTTACGACGCACTTTATGATACTGTTACGAAACGACTCCGGTACGACGCCTATGGGCCGTCGAGAACTTTCTAGTATATACGGAGATGATGACTCATGATCGATGACAGCGGCCGGCGTTGGCTAAAGAAAAGCCCGGAAGCGGAAATCACGATGGGCAACTCAGAAAAACCTCAAAGCGACGTTCTCGATTCATCGAGAGGAACGTATCCGTTTAAATAAAGGCCACCGTCGGGAACGAGGATTATTCGATTTTTAATCACCGATCATCGTAACAATACCTTCGGTTAATTTTAATTGTTTTTCTACAGGACGTTGATTGAATAGGTAGGTATATACATTTACAATGAGATGCTAATTATTGTTAACGAATTGATTATGTCTTTCTTTAGTAAAATAAAAATTAAATTTTAGTTTCATAATTTCCGATATACTTAATACCTGAGAATTTGTATTAGATTCCTCACTATGCAGTCGAGGTAAAAAGCATTCCGCAGTCGTACTGACAGTACCGTGTAGTACTGTCTTTATCAACATTCGTTCCGATACCATGAAATTCATTGTAATTTTTTCACTAATGGTAGTGCTTTTTTGCGTTTCTTATAATGACGCTAAAAATCTAGAAATAACGGGTAAGTGTTTTATTTTAGTGCTGTTTTATGACATTAACAATTTATCATAGGTCACAACAAGAGTGGACCATCTAGAAAATGTAGCCCTACTTGCTGTAGTCGCCACTGTAAAGAAAAGCATGGTACTGATCACACAGGCTTACGCATTAACCAAGAATGTTCTTGTATATATCAAAAGTGAAAGAGTGAGTTCAATAGTTTACTTTTAACTGATACTTAAATGTAAACTCGTCAAATTCGGTTTATTCAAATATGTGTAAGATTTGTTAAATATATATTCTTTGAATTCTTGTAATTGTTTTTGTTTAACTATGCTCCAAACAATTAAAGACGTCATCTCAAAAACGAATTTTGTGTCGCCAATTTTGCAATTTTTCATAATAATGTGCTACATTGACGTTTTCACTTAATTATTTAAGCAATGTCTAAAAAAATAATTATTCTATGTTATCGCCAGTTACGTAACTTTTATGATATTGTAGCTGTTCATAAACGTCAAAAAAATTGTTTTGTAGTGGACACTAAAATGGGAAATAGATATTCAACTTAAAAAATTTCTCTACAATTTTCGGGCAATCTAGCACACATTGTTAAAGTCGCCACATTGGCCACATATGAATTATTGATAAAAAAATTTACCTACACTGATCATTACTGACCAAATAATAGCATAATACTACGTTTTAGATGAAAATTCTAAAGTGAAATCAGTAGAAAGTACAATTTTTTTACATCTATTTAAGCTTTTTTTAACTGATTCTTCATGTATGTATTTTTAGATTCAGAAACATGGCAAATCGTTAGTCAAAATTCGTCTGTCATCTTACACTTTTGCCGAGTTTCTTCAAATTTATGACTGTTTTTGGAAAAAACTGAGTATGAATTAATCAATCAGTCCTTTCCTATGCGTTGAGGACACAAAATCAACCTATTTTCATTTTCGTTTAATCGCTGATTTTTGTGCTAGTAGTCGAATTCGGTCGAAATATAAACATAAACAGTCGAAGTTAAGCATATACTGAGAAATTGAAATTGTCCACATTTTCCCCGTTAGTTATCTGCTTTAAATATATTTCACATTTAAAGACGTAGGGGTTGCGGGGATGTTAATTGCGCCACTTTATACAGCTTTGTTAGTTGTGGTAGCGTCATGAAAATTTCAAAACCTATATCATTTTCTCAAAACGCCAATGTCGCTAGGAAAACTGAAAATAATAGTAATAATCATGCGACACTGCTCTTTAGCATTTTCATGTGAATGTTTATCTGCAGTACCGAATTTTCAACCCTAGTGAATCAGGCCGTCTGGTTGGCTGAGTCCTTCGCAGGATGGATAATCACTTTTACAGTATCAAGAAAAAATATTTTTAGCACAGAGAAATATCACTTATATAATTATTAATACTCAGTACGTAGTGCACCTGCATTGACAACACGAAAAACTAATTGTACAAAAACAAACTTAAAATATTAGAGACAAGTACAAGTTTTAAAACTACATAGTCCCACATTAGGAAAACGGCAACAGTCGGAGCAGTGTCCATTGATGGTACACCGGCGATTCACGCAAGATGGTTTAACCGAAGCACGTGCAAATCTTCGTAAAACTGTAAAGAGAAAAATGTTCATTAAACAAAATCAATGAAATTATTATTATCTTACCTTTTTGCTCTTCTGCATCAGAGCACGAGATAGTATTGATTAAAAATACTGCCAAAACTAAAGCAATAATTACGGCGGACTTCATTGTGAGCGAATTCAAGTTCTGAAGACTCGGTCGTGTCGTGAAAGCAACTCGATGCTGCAGAACTGTTGCCGGCGTTTGTATAGTTGAAGTGAGGCCATTTGGACAAGGGGATTCCTGGAGTTCACAGAAATGCAGTCCTGTTGTACCACTCGAGACTTGTTTTTGTATGCTGATGCACACTTAGAACGAAAACGATAACACTTACTCCAGAGGTTAACGTACCATGTGTTACAGTAGGTTAAGAAATCGGTATTATGCAAAAGTCTCGTGGGATTGGTGAATTCACCTGGTTAAAGCAAAATTTTGGAATGACGTCAGTGAATTTTAAGTGGGGTGAAAACACAATAGTAGATAATTAAAACTTTGTTTATTCAAAAGCTGATCCACCTTTTACAAATAACAACACCGAAACTCATATTTCTAGTTCTCTTCTAAGTTCGCTCCAATATGAGGTAAAATCCTGGTGGAACTCAGCATATTCGTCCACCTGTTCACAAGTCACTTCAACCTCAGATCCTTCCCTTATTAAATATTCGATCATTTCTTTGTCACATCTTTTCCGTATGGCATAATACAATGCTCCGTACCCTTCCTTATCAACCAAATTAACACAAGCTCCTTTTTCAACCAAGTAGCGAACCATGTCAAAATTACGTTTTTTGGCAGCGCAAATGAGCGCCGTTCCTCCCAGGAAACTGAACATGGCGGGCAAGCGAGGCGCTGCCTCCTCTGCTGAGTGCAAAAAGTGTAAAAAACCAGTTGTAGATGCGGCTACATGTGCAAATTGTGGGGGCAAATAGCACCCCAGCTGTGGAGAAATAGTGGCAAAATATTTCGACGATAAACATTTTGAATGTTGTGAAAAACAGGAAACGAATGAAGATGCGGTGTTCTTGGACGCTATTGAGAATCTCCCTGGTACAGAAATGGATGCAGGATATTTCTCCTATATCATCAAAGGAAAAGATTGCATTATACAAGATCTTCGTGAGACCATTATATTCCAAAGGAAACTTATCGAATCGTTATTAAATGGGAAAGACCCTGAACCGATAGAGGACACCAAAAAAGAAAAGAAGTTGCAGACAAAAGCAAACCCTAAAAAAATAGACGGCTTGTTGACCTCCGATAAACCAGCTGACCTACAACCGATACGGAAATAAAAAGCAGCAAAGTACATTGACCTATCAAAATGTGGAAAATATACATGAAACACGTAAAGAGGCTGAAAATAGCAGAGAAACCAGAGACCAAGAAAATACCCGGCAAAACATTACAGAAAATTGGAGTGTGTTTGAGAACAAAAAGAACAAAAAAAGAAAACCTCCTGTAATTGGGAAATCAGTAGAACCATCATTGACGGGAATAAAGTCTGTACCAAAAGCATCGTCCCTTTTTGTATTTAGACTCGACCCAGTGACCACTTGCGAAGATTTGATCAAGTATCTAGAAAAAGATTTCCCAGAAGTCACTTGTGAAAAATTAAGATCCAAGTATCCTAGTTGTTATTCATCTTTCAAAGTTACTATCTACCACCATAATACATCGACCGCTTTAAAACCCCTTACCTGGCCAAATGGTATTTTGGTTACGAGGTTTTTTCAAAAGTACCGAACACCTCAAGAGAACGAGTAGCACCAACACAGGAAACATTGACGTGGGCTGAAAAGGCGGAACATGTAACATAGCAAAACAGCAAATTAGTGGAACATGCACACCTCCTTGGTCTGCTTTGACCTCAGCAAGGCCTTCGATTGTGTCGATCATGGAAACCTTCTCGAAAAATTGGCACACTATGGAATTCGGGGAACTGCTTGGTCATTTTTCGAATCTTACTTGGGAAACAGACAACAAAAAGTTGTTGTTGCCAATGAAGAGTCACTATATCGTAACGTGAAATATGGCGTAAAATAAATCGATGCAATTCTGTTCGCAGATGATACCACCAGTATAGTCTCTGACAAGGATCCTGTTAGACTTAAAGAACTAATAAACGAAAGGAAACAGAACATAAAAACTTGGTTCAATACAAATGGACTATGTCTTAACAAGAATAAGACGCAGGAATTATTCCTATCGACAAATCCCATTTTGCTAAATGGAAAAAATATTAAACTTCTAGGTATAACGATAGACGATGGTTTAAACTGGCAAGCACACATCAACCAAGTTTCTTCTAAATTAGCTAGCACCATTTTTCTCCTGAGAAAATTACGACCCTTACTGAGCTTCAGTTTACTCCTTTCAGCCTATCACGCTCTGTTCCAGTCTCGTCTTATGTATGGTATATTGATTTGGGGAAGTAGTAGTTATGCGATTAAAATATTCCGACTCCAAAAACGAGCGGTCAGAATTCTTTCAAATGCCAGCTTACGTGACCATTGCAAGCCCTTGTTCCTAAAATGTGGCATCTTAACATTTCCATGTCTTTACATCATTAGTATGCTAATTGCAATCCATAAGAAGAAGAAAACGATGGTTAAAAATTCAGATGTTCACTCGTATAATACTAGACAAGCTCAGCACATCAAAACTGCTAAATACAAATTCACAAAATCCATTAAAAACTCCTTGGACATAAGTATGTATAATAATCTCCCAGAATCATACAAAAACCTTCCACAGACAACGTTCAAACACAAAATAACGAAACATTGTAAAATGCACAATTTTTACTCGGTAGATGAATACAAACAAAACACCCCCTATACATTTATAAAGTATGTGTCGATCTTAAATAGTTATATGTGGAGGTTTTGTTGACCAAGTCTAAAACAAAACCTGTGTCCACCAAATACTTAAATATGTCAAAATGATCGTGAATTATTGCCAACGTCAGGGCGTTATGTCCCAAAAAATCTCTTTCGTATCTATCTTCTGCTGGTATCCACGACTGCTTCACCTGTTCTAAGTTTCCATTTTTTGCACCACACAGGAGTGACTCAGAGAAGTGCTAGAACATATTTTTCGAAAAAATATCTATTCAAACTAAAGAGAGCGACTTACTTCTGACATTTTCTAAATTTTTGGGTGTTTTTCAGTTGAAAAATAACATTATCAGATGACAGATAACAACTAATCAGTGGTTTTGCAATTGATTATTCGGTATCGACTGGCGACTTGATATGAGGTAGGTTCATCGAAGGTAAATTAATGTGAAGTGTCATTGGGTCTAGAAGTAACATTTTGATGTCACTTGTAACTGCTATAGGGCATGTTGACGTTATCTGGTCGAACCCTTTTTTGTCTAGATAATGCCAACGTGGTTGGCGAAACGCGTCGACAACTTTGGAGACAGTGCAGAGATCACTGTTTTGTTGATGAATGCATTATAAAAAAAAAGATCACTTACACTTATGTAAAATATAAAATCTACAATATATTCGAAGGTGTTTTCATAGTGTGATAAAAATAATTTGAATGGCATTTAAATAACTTGGCGTTCGCTTGACTTTCCTTTAATTATAGCATATTTTGTACTGGTTTATCAGAAAATTGCATAATTAAACTACGTGCTTTTCCAACACAAATGATACACTGATAAGTAATAACAAATATTACTATCAACTGACAATGGATGAGCAAATTTTCCAGGTAATGCAGAACGTGAAACACGTGCGAATTAATTACCTCATGTATTATATTAGTATTTTTCATCCTTTTTGTCCTTTTTCGTCCTTATCCGTCTGCTTCGGCCTTTTCGTCCTTTTTCGTCCCTTTTCGTCCTTTTTCGTCCTTCTTTGTGCTTCATCGTTTTTTTCGTTCTTTTCGTGCTTTTTCGTCCCTTTTCGTCATTTTTCGTCCTTTTTCGTGCTTCTTCATTTTCGTCCTTTTCGTCCTTTTTCGTTCTTTTCGTCCTTTTCGTTGTTTTTCGTTCTTTATTGTCCGTTTGGTCATTTTTCGTCTTTTTTCGTCCTTCTTCGTTGAATTTCGTCATTTTCATCCTTTTCGTCCTTTTTTGTCCTGTATCGTCCTTTTTCGTTCCTTTTCGTCCTTTTTCATCCTCTTTCGTCATTTTCGTCCTTGTCGCCCTTTTTTCTTCCTATTCATCCTTTTCGTCCTTATTTGTCCTTTTCGTTATTTTCGTCATTTTCATCCTTTTCGTCCTTTTTCTTGAAACCAGTGCTATGAAAATGTTAGATTTTATATTACGGATCTGCAAGGATCTTGATAACATCCAGACCTTGAAAGATTTGTATTATTCCCTTGTTAGAACGAAGCTTGAATATTGCTCTCTGGCCATACTACAGATATCAATACACTTCCCTTGAAAACATCCAAAGGAAATTCTTGAAGTATTTTTATTTCAAGGAATTGAAACAGTGGCCAGTGAGGAATTGTGCTCAAAATTTTTTGTTAGACAAATTTGCAGTGAGATCGCTAAGTTGTCGTAGGATTAATAGTGATATTGTGTTTTTGTATAAATTGTTACATGGTAAGTTAGACTGTTGCGATTTGCTAAGTAAGCTAAACTTTTATGTTCCGCTGTTGAACAGTAGACATAGGGTCACCTTGTACTGTCACACTCCACGCACTAATGTAGGTAGGAAAAGTTTATATTATCATATATTTACTAATAAATAAATTGGAATTAAGTAGAGATATTGATATTTTCAACTGTTGGTTAAGAACTTTAAATCAAACAGTTGAGGATACATGTAATTATATCATTTAATTCTTAAGTTAAGTTGAGGTGTTTTGACTACTTTTTAATATTTTCATATGTATATATAATTGTCCTATTAATGGAACTTTTTATACTGTTGGGCAATAACGTTTATCTTATCTTATCTTTTCGTCCTTTTTCGTCCATTTCATTCTTTTTCGTCCTTTTTCGTCCTGGTCGTCCTTTTTCGCCCTATTCGTCCTTTTCGTCCTTATTAGTCCTTTTCGTTATTTTCGTCCTTTTCACCCTTTTCGTCCTTTTTCGTCCTTTTTCGTCTTTTTTCGTCCTTTTTCGTCCTTTTTCTTATTTTATAAAATTTACAAAATATGTACTGTAAACTTGGGAGATAATGTCAACAAATTGTTGGTAGGGATTGTTAGCCAAATTTGGATCATCTACACGATATTCGTAATACACTTTATTAACGCAATTTTAAATCTTCAGGTTTAGAGCAACTTGCCCGTTTCAGACGCGTCCCTAAAAGTAATAGCTGCAACGACGGTTTGTGCAGAATCGAGTGTAAATCGAGGCATCCGTCCTACTCCGGAAGATGTGTCAACAGACAATGTGATTGTTCTTAAAATGATACATGCGAATTTAACAAACAATGTTTTAAGTTACATCAATGGTTTTATTTTTAAAACAGGCCAAGCAAACCTAATCTAATTGTGTTCTCTTTTATATTACTTAAGTGCACTTATTTCCAATAAAATATGCGTAAGTTTACGACGCACTTTATGATACTATTACGAAACGGCTCCGGTACGACGCCTATGTGCCGTCGAGAACTTTCTAGTATATACGGAGATGATGACTCATGATCGATGACAGCGGCCGGCGTTCGCTAAAGAAAAGCCCGAAAGCGGAAATCACGATGGGCAACTCAGAAAAACCTCGAAGCGACGTTCTCGATTCATCGAGAGGAACGTATCCGTTTAAATAGAGGCCACCGTCGGGAACGAGCGTTATTCGATTTTTAATCACCGATCATCGCAACAATAGCTTCGGCTAATTTTAATTGTTTTTCTACAGGACGTTGATTGAATAAGTATATACATTTACAATGGGATGCTAATTAATGTTAACGAATTGATTATGTCTTTCTTTAGTAAAATAAAAATTAAATTTTAGTTTCATAATTTCCGATATACTTAATACCTGAGAATTCGTATTAGATTCCCCACTATGCAGTCGAGGCAAAAAGCATTCCGCAGTCGTACTGACAGTACCGTGTAGTACCGTCTTTATCAACATTCGTTCCGATACTATGAAATTCATTGTAATTTTTTCACTAATGGTAGTGCTTTTTTGCATTTCTTATAATGACGCTAAAAATCTAGAAATAACGGGTAAGTGTTTTATTTTAGTGGTGTTTTATGACATTAACAATTTTTCATAGGTCACAACAAGAGTGGACCATCTAGAAAATGTAGCCCTAGTTGCTGTAGTCGCCACTGTAAAGAATCACATGGTACTGATCATGCAGGTTTATGCATTAATCAAGAATGTTCTTGTATATATCAAAAGTGAAAGAGTGAGTTCAATAGTTTACTTTTAACCGATTTTTAAATGTAAACTCGTCAAACTCGCTTTATTCAAATATGTGTAACATTTGTTAAATATATATTCTTTGAATTCTTGAAATTGTTTTTGTCTAACTGTGCTCCAAACAATTAAAGACGTCATCTCAAAAACGAATTTTGTGTCGCCAACTTTGCAATTTTTCATAATAATGTGCTACATTGACGTTTTTAATTAATTATTTAAGCAATGTCTAAAAAAATAATTAATCTATGTTATCGCCAATTACGTAACTTTTATGATATTGTAGCTGTTCATAAACGTCAAAAAAATTGTTTTGTAGTGGACACTAAAATGGGAAATAGATATTCAACTTAAAAAATTTCTCTACAATTTTCGGGCAATCTAGTACACATTGTTAAAGTAGCCACTTTGGCCACATATAAATTATTGATAAAAAAATTCAACATTTACCTACACTGATCATTAGTGACCAAATAATAGCATAATACAACGTTTTAGATGAAAATTCTAATGTGAAATCAGTAGAAAGTACTTTTTTTCCATCTATTTAAGCTTTTTTTAACTGTTTCTTCATCTATGAATTTTTAGATTTAGAAACATGGTAAACCGTTAGTCAAAATTCGTCTGTCATCTTACACTTTTGCCGAATTTCTTCAAATTTATGAGTGTTTTTTGAAAAAAACTGTGTATGAATTAATCAATCAGTCCTTTCCTATGCGTTGAGGACACAAAATCAACCAATTTTCATTTTCTTTTAATCGCTGATTCTTGTGCTAGTAGTCGAATTCGATCGAAGTATAAACATAAACAGTCGAAGTTAAGCATATACTGAGAAATTGGAATTGTCCACATTTTAGCGTTAGTTGTCTGGTTGAAATATATTTTATATTTAAAGACGTAGAGGTTGCGGGGATGTTAATTGCGCCACTTTATACAGCTTTGTTAGTTGTGGTAGCGTCATGAAAATTTCAAAACCTACATAATTTTTTCAAAACGCCAATGTGGATAGGAAAACTGAAAATAATAGTAATAATCATCCGATATTGCTCTTTAGAATTTTCATGTGAATGTTTATCTGCACTACCGGATTTTCAACCCTAGTGAATCAGACCGTCTCGTTGGCTGAGTCTTTCGGGGGATGGATAATCACTTTTACAGTATCAATAAAATTTATTTTTAGCACAGAGAAATATCACTTATACAATTATTAATACTCAGTACGTAGTGCACATGCATTGACAACACGAAAAACTAATTATAAAAAAAAACAAACTTAAAAAATTAGAGACAAGTACAAGTTTTAAAACTACACAGTCCCACGTTAGGAAAACGGCAACAGTCGGAGCAGTGTCCATTGATGGTACATCGGCGATTCACGCAAGATGGTTTAACCGAAGCACGTGCAAACCTTCGCAAAACTGTAACGAGAAAAATCAGAATTAAACAAAATCAATGGAATTATAATTATCTTACCTTTTTGTTCTTCTGCATCAGAGCACGAGATAGTATTGATTAAAAATACTGCCAAAATTAAAGCAACAATTACAGCGGACTTCATTGTGAGTGAATTCAAGTTCTGAAGACTCGGTCGTGTCGTGAAAGCAACTCGATGCTGCAGAAATGTTGCCGGCGTTTATATAATAGAAATGAGGCCATTTGGACAAGGGGATTCCTGGAGTTCACAGAAATGCAGTCCTGCTGTACCACTCGAGACTTGGTTTTGTATGCTGATGCACAGAGCGAAAACGATAACACTTACTCGCAGAGGTTTATTGTACCATGTGTTACCGTAGGTTAAAAAATCGGTATTATACAAAAGTCTCGTGGGATTGGGGAATTCACCTGGTTCAAGCAAAATTTTGGAATGACGTCACTGAATTTTAAGTGGGGTGCAAACACAATAGTAGATAATTAAAACTTTGTTTATTCAAAAGCTGATCCACGTTTTACAAATAACAACACCGAAACTCATATTTCTAGTTCTCTTCTAAGTTCGCTCCAATATGAGGTAAAATCCTGGTGGAACTCAGCATATTCGTCCACCTGTTCACAAGTCACTTCAACCTCAGATCCTTCCCTTATTAAATATTCGATCATTTCTTTGTCACATCTTTTCCGTATGGCATAATACAATGCCCCGTACCCTTCCTTATCAACCAAATTAACAGAAGCTCCTTTTTCAACCAAGTAGCGAACCATGTCAAAATTACGTTTTTTGACAGCGCAAATGAGCGCCGTTGCTCCCAGGAAACTATCATCACCTCGATGTTCTGACAAGTACCTTGTTTTGGTGGTTCCACACAACATTATAAAATTAGAATAAACATCGTTGACCAAGTCTAAAACAAAACCTGTGTCCACCAAATACTTAAATATGTCAAAATGGTCGTGAATTATTGCCAACGTTAGGGCGTTATGTCCCAGAAAATCTCTTTCGTATTTATCTTCTGCTTGTATCCACGACTGCTTCACCTGTTCTAAGTTTCCACTTTTTGCACCACGAAGTAGGGATTCAGAGAAGTGCTAGAACATATTTTTCGAAAAAATATCGATTCGAACTAAAAACAGTGACTTACTTCTGACATTTTCTAGGTTTTTGGGTGTTTCCAATTGAAAAATAACATTATCAGATGACAGATAACAACTAATCAGTGGTTTTGCAACTGATTATTCGGTATCGACTGGCGACTTGATATGAAGTAGATTAATCGAAAGTAAATTAATGTGAAGTTTCATTGGGTCCAGAAGCAACATTTTGATGTCACTTGTAACTGCTATAGGGCATGTTGGCGTTATCTGGTCAACCTTTCTTTGTTTAGATAATGCCAACGTGGTTGGCGAAACGCGTCGACAACTTTGGAGACAGGAAAACATCACTGTTTTGTTGATGAATGCATATTCAAAAAAAAGATCATTTACACTTATGTAAAATATAAAATCTACAATATATTCCAAGGTGTTATCATAAAAATAATTTGAATGGCATTTAAATAACTTGGAATTCGCGTGACTTTCCTTTAATTATAGCATTTTTGTATTGGTTTATCAGAAAATTGCGTAATTAAACAAAGTGCTTTTCCAAGACAAATGATATACTGATAAATAATAACAAATATCACTATCAACTGACACTGTGTCAGTAAATTTTCCAGGTAATGAAGAACGCGAAACACGTGCCAATTAATTAGCTCATACATTATTATATAAGTATTATATTGTATATAGTACTATAAAATTATTGGGTCACTAATGATCAGTGTAGGTAGATGTTGATTTTTTTTTTTTTTTTAATGGAATATTCCCATTTTAGTGTCCACTACAAAACAATTTTTTTGACGTTTATGAACCATTACAATATTACAAAGGTTACCTAACTGGCGATAACATAAAATAATATTTTTTTTAGTCATTGCTTCAATAATTAAGTGAAGACGTCAGTGTCACATATTATGAAAAACTGCAAAGTTGACGACACACAATTCATTTTTGAGATGACGTCTTTGTTTGGAGCACAGTTAAACAAAAAAAATTCAAGAATTCAAAAAAATATATTTAACAAATGAAACACATTTGAATAAACTGACAACAAAAATTCCGAGTTTGGCGAGTTTATTTTAAATATCGGTTAAAAGTAAACTATTAAAGTCACTCTTTTACTTTTGATATATACAAGAACATTCTTGATTAATGCATAAACCTGCATGATCAGTCCCATGCGATTCTTTACAGTGGTGACTACAGCCAGTAGGGCTACATTTTCTAGATGATCCACTCTTGTTGTGACCTATGATAAATTGTTAACGTCATAAAACAACACTAAAATAAAACACTTACCCGTTATTTCAAGATTTTTAGCGTCATTATAAGAAACGCAAAAGAGTACTACTATTAGTGAAAAAATTACAATGAATTTCATGGTAGCTGAACGAATGTTGATAAAGACGGTACTACACGGTACTGTCAGTACGACTGCAGAATGCTTTTTACCTCGACTGCGTAGTGGGGAATCTAATACAAATTCTCCGGTAATAAGTATATCGGAAATTATGAAACTCAAGTTTATTTTTTATTTTACTAAAGAAAGACATAATCAATTCGTTAACATTAATTAGCATCTCATTGTAAATGTATATATTCAATCTACGTCCTGTAGAAAAACAATTAAAATTAACCGAAGGAATAATAAACTGCGTCGTAAACTTACGCATATTTTGCTGGAAATAGGTACACTTAATAATATAAAAGAAAACACAATTCCTGTTTCAAAAATAAAACCGCTGATGTAACTTTATACATTGTTTATTAAATTCGCATTTATCATTTTAAGAACAATCACATTGTCCGTTGATGCATCTTCCGGAGTAGGATGGATGCCTCGATTTACACTCGATTCTGCACAAACGGTCGTTGCAGCTATTGCTTTTAGGGGCTCTTCTGAAACGGGCAAGTTGCTCTAAACCTGAAGATGTAAAATTGCGTTAATAAATTGCTTCGTGTTTATAAATAAACTCATTACCTTCTTCCTCTGATGTCGGTGATGAATGAACAAATGCAGTGCAGATTACTGCAATTAAAACCAAAATAAACATTAGCTTCATGGTAGTGGATAAAGTCACCGCAAACGTAACACTGATGCGAGAAGTCTGCAGATTCGTTTTATACTAATCTCGGCCAAACGCGGGGAATCCTTGCGTTCAATAATAATAATACTCAGAATCGCTAAGCAAATAATAACACGCTTAATCTGAATGTTTACAGAATTTATTGACAAGATATTATGCATTGTGCAATTGAAAACGATGGGGTTTTCTTGACAGTTGTGTTTGTAACAATAAAAAAAGTTGTCGATTTTAAGAAAGTTTTATTTCTTTTTGTGTCAGTTTACCAACATTTACATGTTATAGCACTGCTACAATAACTCAAACCACCATTAGTGCAACAACCTCTGCAGTCTTCGTCAATAGTGCACGATTGGTAACGACAATGGGTATAAAGCGTCGAACGTGGAACTCTTGAGGTCCGTCTATCTACAACTATAAAATACTGGATTAATAACACTGTTAAACAATTATCCGTGAAGTAAAACTTACAACTTTTGTAGTCATCGGGTTCATAATAACCAGCTGCAGCTAAACCTAAAACTACAACTAAAATAGTTGTAAAAACGTAAATCTTCATTTTGGGTTTGGTGAACGTAGAGCGGTTTTCTTCTTGTACGATTAATCAAAGACGAACGCCAGCTTTTATATGTTCATAGTGGGAATAAGGGATTCCTGTTCTTATCCGAACGTGACCTTACCGTAATATTTTTTAACGGTGCTTAACTCATTACTGCGTTTTTGTTATTCACAATAATAAATTTCCCGAGAGTCTTCTGCGATAAGTTGAAATAGAAACCGTATCGTTTCGACCAAACTTTCCTGGTTTTTGGTATTTTGTACTATTTTATATATTATATATATTTATTTCCCAAGCGAAATTTTGGAGATGTTTTAAAGTTACCACAATATTTCTTAGATTTGCTTAAACAACAGGTGGCTCAAAAAATTAATGAGACCATTTTACACTAAATAAAATAAGTCAGAAAATGGAGAAAGGAGGTGGACGGGGGTAAATTTAGATTTTTTCTAGTTTTATAAGCAAGCAGTAGCACCGCCCACCCACCCCTTCTTCGTTCCAGTAACTACCCTTAATATTGTACAGTCCTAGGGTAGCAAATTTTAGCAGCGCCCACCCACCCTTTTTTTTCTTAGAAGATATGTCATTTACCAAAATGAATCTTATCTTAACTAAATCTTGAAAAATCTAAAAAATTTAAAACTGAAAAATCTAATAAGTTTTTATAATTGAAAAGCTGCAAAATTTTCAAATTAAAAATTGGAAAAATTAATAAAATTCAAATTGAATACTCAAAAAAATTGTAAACCGAAAACTATAAAAATGAAAAATTGGAGAAACGAAAAATTAACATATAAAGAATTTAAATAGAAGAGATAAAACTCGAAAAACTGAAAAATCGAAAAATTTAAAGAAATAAAAATTGGGAAATTAAAGCAATGGTAAAATGGGAAAACTGCAAAATAAAATTCATAAAATGGAATGACTGAAAAATCGGAAAATTCGAAAAACTGAGGTATCAAAAAATTTAAATATTTAAAATGCGAAAGTGAAAAAATGCAAAAATTTAAGAAACGAAAATTTTAAAGTTGAAAATTTCAAAGCTGCCGAAACTGAAAAATTGAAAACCAGAAAAAAACTGAAAAGTCGGGACATTGTGAGACAATGAAAAATTAAAAACACTAGAAATTTAATGAAAAAAAAATCGAAAAAGCCATGCATTGAAACATCAAAAAATTAACAAATTTTAAATTGAATACTGAAAAATCGTAACATCGAAAAATCGCAATAGAGATCGAACAATTTTAATTATAAAAACGAAAAATTGAGAAATCGTAAAATCGAAAAACCGAAAAATCAAAAAATCGAAAATTGAAAACTCGAAAAATTTAATTTGAAGAAATGAAAAATTGGGAAATTAAAAAAATGGTAAAATGGAAAAACGGCAAATAAAATTCATAAAATGGAATAACCGAAAAATCGGAAAATTCGAAAAACTGAGATATCAAAAAATCAAAAAATTAAAATATTTAACATACGAAACTCAAAAAAATGCAAAAATATAAGAATCGAAAATTTTAAAGTTGAAAATTTCAAAGCTGCCGAAACTGAAAAATTGAAAACCAGAAAAAAACTGAAAAGTCGGGACATTGAGAAAATGAAAAATTATAAACACTAGAAATTTAAAGAAAAAAAAATCGAAAAAGCCATGCATTGAAACATCAGAAAATTAACAAATTTCAAATTGAATACTGAAAAATCGTAACATCGAAAAATCGCAAAAGAGATAGAAAAATCGCAAAAGAGATCGAAAAATTTTAATTATAAAAACTAAAAATTGAGAAATCGTAAAATCGAAAAACCGAAAAATCAAATAATCGAAAATTGAAAAATCGAAACATTTAAAGAAATGAAAAATTTGGAAATTACAAAAATGGTAAACTGGAAAAACTGCAAAATAAAATTCATAAAATGGAATGACTGAAAAATTCGAACAACTGAAATATCAAAAATCAATAAATTAAAATATTTAACATACGAAACTCAAAAAAATGCACACATTAAAGAAACGACAATTTTAAAGTTGAAAATTTCAAAGCTGCCGAAACTGAAAAATTGAAAACCAGAAAAATTCATGGAAAGAAAATTGAAAAGTCGGGACATTGAGAAAACGAAAAATTAAAAACACTAGAAATTTAAACAAAAGAAAAATCGAAAAAGTCATAAATTGAAACATCAGAAAATTAAAAAATTTCAAATTGAATACTGAAAAATTGTAACATCGAAAAATTGCAAAATAGAGATCGAAAAATTTTAATCATAAAAACGGAAAATTGAGAAACCGTAAAATCGAAAACTCGAAAAATTTAATTTGAAGAAATGAAAAATTCAAAAATTGAACAGACAAAATTTAAGAATTTCAAACTGAGTGCTCGAAAAATTACAAACAAGATCGAAAAATGGAATGAATGAAAAACACGAAAATCCAAAAACTGAGATATCGTAAAATTGAAAAACTGAAAAGTTTCAAACTTAAAAAAAGAAAAATAAAACAATAAAAATGAAGAAATAAAAAAATGAAAAGTTGAAAAATTCTAAATTGCAACAACAAAAAATTGAAAATTTTAAATATTTAAACACATGAAAAATTGGAAAATTCGAGATTCAAAAAATTATGAAGTTTAAAAATGTCAAATTGAACACTCGAAAAATTGTAAAACCGAAAAATAGTCGAGAAGCCGAGAAATTGAAAAATCGAGCAATCTAAAAATCGAGAAATCGAAATAGCCTGAAATCCAAAAATTGGAAAATTAAACTCTGAAAAAATTGAAAAATTTAAATTAAAAAAAAAATGAAAAATCGAAAAAAAAATCAAAAACTAGAAAAATTTAAAAAGAGAAAAATTGAAAATCTAAAACGTTTAAAAAACTTAAAAAAAAAACGGAAAATGAAAAAACCAAAAATTGAAAAACGAAACATTGAGAAAATCGAGAAAATGAAGAATGCGAAAACTGAAATGTGGAAATGTGGAATGTGGAAATCATCAAAAGAAATAATAGTCGAAAAGTCGAAAAATTGGACAATTTAAATTAAAAAAAAATTGAAAAATAGAAAAATCAAAACATCAAAATCACGATAAATCAAGAAATTGACGAAAATGAAAAATCAAAAAATTTTAAAACAGAAAAATTGAAAAATCGCAAAATGTAAAATTTAAAAAACGACAAACTGAAGAATCGAAAACCTGAAAAATAGAAAAAGAACACAAGAAATCGGGAAATCGAAAATCTAAAATTTAAGGAATTAAAAAATTAAAATATCAAAATAAGAATCGAAAAATTGAAAAATCTTAAAAGTCAGATTTCGAAAAATTGATTATTCGATAAATCGAAGTTTAAAAATGTCAAATTGATTACTCGAAAAATTGTAAAACCGAAAAATGGAATAATTGAAAAACTTCAATAAAAAAAAATATCTGAAAATTTCAGATAAAAGAAATTGAAGAGAAAAATTCTTAAGTTGAAAAATTAAAAATTGTAAAAACTGAAAATTTGAAATGTAAAATTGGGAAATCGAGACAGTAGACATCGGAAAAAGCCTAAAAACCGAAAAATCCAAAAATTTAAAGAAATAAAAAATAAAAAAAATTCAAACTGGTTCCCCGAAAAATCATAAAAATGGGAAGTAGAAAAATGGAAAACCAAATCTTGATAAAAGGAAAAATCAGAAAATATATAAAAATTGAAAACTCGGAAAAATGGAAAATGAGAATTTGAAGGAACAAAAAATTTAAAAAGTGGAAAATTCAAAAGTTGCAAAAATTAAAAATTGGGAAATTTAAAAGTCGAAAAATGAAAACTCGAAAAATTGAAAAATCGAAAAACATTAAAAACGAAAAATCGAGAAACTAAAAAATTGAAGATTCAAAAAATCGGAAAATTAAATTATTTACAATTCATAACTCCCAAAAATGCAAAAATTGGAGAAGTGCATATTTTAAAGTTGAAAAAGTCAAAGTTGCAAAAACTAAAAAATTGAAAACTAGAAATATTCATGAAAAGAAAAATTGAAAAATCGGAACATTGAGAAAACGGAAAATTAAAAACACTGAAAATTGAAAAATCCAAAAATTTAAATTATTGAAACATTCAAAAATTGAAGAGACATTTAAAAATTTCAAACTGAAGGCTCGAAAAACTGCAAAATCGAAAAATGGAATGAATTAAAAATAAGAAAAACGGATAAACTGACATCGTAAAATCGAAAATTCGGAACATTTAAAGGAATGAAAAATTGAGAAATTCAAAATTAAAAAGTTATACTCCTAAAATTTAAAAATGTGAAACTGAATGCTTGAAAAATTGTAAAACCCAAAAATGAAATACCTGAAAAACTTCAATCATCAAAAACTTGAAAAAAACGAAAAATTAAGATATGTAAAATAAAAATTGAAAAACAAAAATTAAAAAATTTAAAATATCAAGTACTAAAGTCGCGATCTTTTCTATCGAACCACTCCCTAGTGTAAATTTTCAAAATTTGTTTGGTGTAAGTGACCTTGACGGGTTTCTGGGGGAAAACATATGTGTCAAAAATTTGACAGGTTATACAGACCCCATTGTCAATGTAGATATTTTATTTTAATAAACAGATGAACAGAACATACAGTGTGCACGGGATACAGTGAGGCATAGCTGAGGGCAACCGAAATATTCGTGTTGTGCTAGTTTCGATTGCCATATCAACTACAGCTACCAACCGCGTTCGGCGTAAAGTACTAGATGACAGGGCTACCAACTTGACTTTTTATCGAGTGGTTCCGTAGAAATGACCGCTACTGTATATGTGAAAATTTCAGCAAAAAAATTTGAAGATAAAATTTTTAAATGTAAAATTGGGAAAACGAGACAGTAATAAATTGAAAAATTAAAAAAGTCTAGTAACCAGAAAATCATAAAAATCTAAAAATGGGAAACGGAGAAATGGAAAACTCAAAAATCGTAAAATCGAAAAACTGAATATTCCAAAACTTCATAAATGGAAAAATTAAAATATATAAAAGCCACCTTCCATTCGAACTGCACAAAATGAGTCACTGAAATGGAGGCGGGGTAGTGGGCGGGGCTAAGTTTAACTTTTTCATACACAATCTTTTATAAGCAAGCAATAGCCCCGCCCACTCACCCTCTATTTTCTTAGGGGGTATGTAATTTGCCACAATCAGTCTTATATTTCACAAAATAAGTAAACCAGTAGGAGTTTACAAACCCCAAAAAGGCGTTTTTAAACTAAATAATCACTAATCAGTAACTGAACTTTTCAGTTAAATTTACCAGATTTGGCAGAAGAGTTAACCGTTAAAAACCTTTATGTTTGAGCTTTTTTGATGGTGTTATTAATTAAAATAAATTATGAATGAGATTCCATAAATCAATAGTATATCTGCCAACCTTAATTAGCCTCGACAAGCGTTAGTCTAATATTAGCTTTTGCAACTAACATTTGTTACAGTCATATAATTAAATTTACAACATAAACTTCAAGCCAAGTTGAAAAATGTGTACAATATTTAAATACCAAAGTCATATTTTAGTCCAAAAAATAAAACCGACAACATAATTAAATTAACTCATTATCGCCTCATAAATTTTTTTATTTTAATTGGAGTTAATGCCAAATCTATTTTTGTAAACCTTATCAAACGAGACCTAGAATTCACCACGCTGACCGTAAACGGGGATCCACTGCTAAGCCTCACGATAACATCCTCACAATCATATAAAAGCGTTCATTTCCACGTTCAAATCATCCGTCTCTTGAACTTCTTCAAGCAACAACCACAACCACCAACCAAAATGGCCAAACTGACTTTCGTTTTTGCTTTAGTAGCTGCCTTATTCATCATTTCTGCCACAGCTCAGCAGTACGACCAGTACGAAGGAGAAGGTTAGTAAAATTGTTAATGTTTGTTATAAAATTCTCAATTTTTTTTTTATTTAGGTGTTGTCGAAGAGGTTAAACAACGCGCTGAACGTGGGTTCTTCTGCAATCCTGGTCAGTGCTATGGCTACTGCAGACGTAATGGTCACAGGCGAGCCTCTTGCTCTGGAGATGAATGTGTTTGTCTCTAAGAAGAACCCAGAATGATATATTTACTTTGTTTTAATATTTATTTGTTGAAATATATTTCTACACTGAATTTGTTTTGTGTTGTATATAAATGCATCGACGGGTTGTAAGATTACATCATCTTTGGCTAAAAAGAAATCTCGAGACGTGATTCCCCTATCTCAAGATAGCGAAATGTTATTGACCTGGTTCTTGGTATTTTCATACATTGCATCAACTGATGTGTATATAGAGTTGCCTATACACCAAATTTTAAAGGCAAATAAAACAACCACATTCGCTGCTTCGGTGTATTTAAATCATTCAAAATTAATTATTGTTATCATTCATAAAATAAATGTTTCTGTTAAGAAATTTGACTGACGACTTCTTTACTTTCACGTCAGGCTTCTCATTAATCTCCCTCCTGCACAGTTCTTCAGCCGCCTTCGCTTCCTTCTTCTTCTTACACTCCCGCTCGTAATCAAAAACTTTGAGGGGCGTCCTCCCCAGTAGCATATTTCGCACTAAATCGACCTGTCTTGCGGAAACGAACGGTGCATACATGACTTTCTCCTGTCTGGGGGGCTTCATTCTATACCAGACGTTTTCGTGCAACTCGCTGACCTCTTCAGCCGCATTTTTGTCCACGACGGTGCCTTCAATGTAACAGAAGCTTTTTTCTGAAACACAATAACGAAATCGCTGATTTTAGTGTCAGAGTTTTACCGTCTTCGTCGTCCATGGGGTCGCCACAAGAATTTTGAATTTAGCGCCTGAAAGCGCAGCCGTTTAAAATTTAAAATGACGTTTGACGTTTGGTTTTGAAATTATTTGAAAGTCGAAATTTTGTTCAAATTGCTTGATTTAATAAGCGGACGTTTGCTAAATTTTTAGTTTGAAAAGTAATGACTGTGTGGTGAGAGTTTGCGCGTTTTTGTAGTTTGAGGTTATGTTTGTCAACAAGTTTGGGTAATTTTTTGGGTTTTTGGTTTATGGGTTTAATGCGGTTGTTTTCTAGGTGGTTATAAAATGAGTTCGGATAGAAGTGACGATGATGACCATGACGCCGTTTCCAAACAAATCGTGGATTATTATAAGAAGTATTCACAGAGTAAGCAGCTTCCTAAGTACTTTTCAGGGACTGCGCTCTCTTACATGCCCCCCATTGTTCAAAACGAGGAAATTGCTGCCTATTCTAAACCGAGTATAGTCATAGATGACACCAATAGCGAAACTTTGGTGCCAAAACCAACCCCAGAAGCGTCAGTGGAACCCAAAGCTGTATCCCCGACTAGTAGCGTCACATCTAATCGCAAATTAGAGTGGGATAATGGGGCAGATATTGGTTACAACAACTGCAACAGAAGTACAAACTTACATAAAAGTCTGTCTTTACCGATTTTATTAAGTTCAGTTGATAACAAAAAAGTGGCTAAATCAACCAAACCAACACTAAGTAGTCAAGTGGTGACAGTCATTTCATACCACAGTGAAAGTGACACAAAAGATGCACAGATAAATTCATCTTCATCTTCATCTTCACCTTATAGACCAGAAGTGCCAATCCAGTCCTCCAGTTCTAGTGTCAAAACTAACCCAAAACCAGTGAGTAGTAGCTCCAGCTCTTTTTCTAACACCATTGCGTACTTAAAAAGTAAAATTGGGTCCCCTGATGCTGAATCAACCCCAAAAATAACCAGTAGTTCACAACCACAAGTCTACATTGACACACCGATAGCCCCCAAACCAAAGCAACAAATCAAACACCGAACCGTTAATTTGTGTTTCACTAAACCAATTTCCATCCAATGCCTAGATAACCAAAAAAAGAAAGCCTCTGATAAAAAAATCCAAACAAGTTTTGCAGAAGGTGTATCCAAAAGCGTACAAACTAGTGAAAGTTTGGAACTACTGACTCACAAAACTGACAAAGAGGTTATAAATGAGCGCGAAAATCAGAGCGTGGTTTTCATAAATTACAACAGCGAGAGTGATAAGAGAACTTGTAGTTCTAATACTCAAACAGACGCTGAAATTATAGCTTCACACTGTGATAGTTTTGAATATTATAGAGAGGAAAATCTACAAAAAAAAATTTCGTCTAAGTCAGATTTGACTGATTCGTCTAAAGACGTCCCTGTTCTTGGTCAACTCATTTCACAAAAGCAATCAGGCAGTCTTATCAATGACGTAGACCGCAGCATCGAGCTTTTACAAAAGTTGCTAAAATCAAAAAAGTATGACGTGGCTACGAAAAAGCGCTACGTTAAAAAGATTGTGGATAAAATCGTAAATACGAAATATAGCGAAGATAGTACGACTAGTTCGGAGCTTTTTGTCCCCAAAAGACAACCAAACAAAGACGGTGTACCAAAATTTTCAGTCAAAACTTTTACCGACGAATTTGTGCCCGGGTTCGAACACAAGAAAAGATCGATTTTAACTTCCACCCACCAGAGTGGTGACCCAAGCGTCTTGGGCACAATCGACTCTAAAACGAGTCTAGAAAAACAGCAAAATCAGTCATCTGGGAGCTACCACAGCTGGAAAAATGATAAAACCGAGTCGGAAAAATTACTCGAGGAAAAACAGCGCGGTCAAGGCGATCAGCTGGTTAAATTCGCGATGAAAGAAAGACAGCACCAGATAGCGTGGATCAACGACGAAATTTCCCACTTGACCAAACTGAAGGGGTTATTGGAGAAAAAAAGCCAGAAGACGACGACAGTGTATATGGTTTCTGACTGTGACTGTTTGAGTGGGAACGCGGCTTCAGGTTCTCGGGGTCCGTCGCCCAGGAATTACGTGATTGAAACTGAGGTGTCGACGAGTTCTTCAAGCGGACCGGTGGACTACAATTTGTATGATAAAGACGGGACTAAAAAGAATTATCGGGTTAGAGAAACTTCTGCACAAGCGAATTTAAATTTTAATAGGAAAGTCGTACGGGATATTGAAGTCGTGTCTGATGATAAGACGACGAATATTAAAGTGGGGGCTAAAAAACTGGAAGGTGAAGATATTGGTATGTTTAAACCAAAACCTCCAACTTTGATTGGGTTTGGAAAGTATGATACTTTCCCTAGGAGCAAGGCAGAAGAAGAGAGGTGTTGGCCTTGTGGACGGGTGAGGTCAGCGAAGGGTGAGTATTTTTTCACTTTTAATTTCATAGTTCGTTGATGTTTCATAACTCCTAGAATATGCAAAAGTAGGTCTCTCGTTTCCCACTTTGTCTGCAAACGATTAAAGAGATAATCTCTGATACGATACTCAGACACATTGTATATATAAATTTGAATTGAGATTGGGAGGGGGGGCGCGGCTTATATTTTGGCTTTTTTTTTAATAATGGTTACAATGGTACATTTTTGCAAGAAAATATGGGTTTTGCAAATAATATAGATTTTCCATATTGAACATGTTGTAAGTTTCATTTTGTGAAAATAAGTCTACACATATTAAAACAAAAAGGCAAAATGTGAGCCCGCCCACCCGCCCTGTCTCAATTCTGATATTTTTTTTTATTCGCCGTGAACCAAGGAGGCGGAGATTAACTGCAAAAAACTTATTTCTTTCCAAGAAATTAAAAACATGTTTTTGAGTATTGTGTTGTCCAAAGAATACTGTGTATATTAAAAAAAAAGGGAAAATATACACCCCGCCCACCCACCCCATCTCGATTGTGATGATTTTTTTATTCTTAGAAACTTAAAATACGTTTAAAATATAAATAAGAAATAATGATTTTACAATTAAGGTAAATTCGGTTACTTTGGCTCCCGACGATAAAAAAAATCATGACAATTGAGACAGGGCGGGTGGGCGGGGCTTATATTTTGCCTTTTTTTCTTAACATGTGTAGACTTATTAGGAAAATATCGATTTTGCAATTACGCTCCGCCTCTCGGTCTGACAACGAATGAAAAATTCATCCCGATTGAGATCGAGACGGATGGGTGGTACTTTTCTTTTGGTTTTCTTTTTTAAATTAATACATTTAGTTTTCTTTGTATAACACGATTACTGAAGAGCATATTTCACATGGTAATTTCACGTAGAAAAATAAGTATTTTACAATTAAGCTACGCCCCTTGACATACGACGAAAAAATCATCGGAATTGAGATAGGGGGGTTGGGGGGCTTATATTTTGCCTTTTTTTTCATAATATACGTAGCCATCTTTTCACAACAAGAAACTTAAAAATTGGTAAAATGATACATTTTTACCAGGATATATGGATTTTGCAATTATGGGGCGGAGCTTAACTGCAAAATACTTGTTTCTTTACAAGAAATTAAAAACATGTTCTTGAATATCGTCTTGTTCAAAAAATACTTCGTATATTAAGAAAAAAGGGCAAAATATAAACCCCGCCCGCCCACCCCATCTCAATTGTGATGATTTTTTTTATTCTTAAAAAACTAAAACACGTTTGAAATAGTAAATTTTTGTAAGGTAATATGGATTTTGCAATTAGGATCCGCCCCTCGGCTTAGGACGAATAAAAAAATAATCCGAATTGAGATAGGGCGGGTGGGCGGGGCTTATATTTTGCCTTTTTTATTCTTATTATACATCGTCATCTTTTCACAACAAGAAACTTAAAACATGGCTAAAATGGTAGATTTTTGCAAGTAAATATGGATTTCGCAATTTTGGGGCGGAGCCTAAACATAATATCAGTTTAATGTTGTGAAAAGAAGTCTACACATATTAAAACAAAAAAACAAAATGTATTCCCGCCCACCCGCCCTGTCTCAATTGTGGTTATATTTTTCTGATTGGCCGTGCACCAAGGGGGCGGAGTTTAACTGCAAGATACTTGTTTCTTAACAAGAAATTAACATGTTCTTGAGTATCGTCTTGTTCAAAAAATAATTTGTATATTAAGAAAAAAAGGCAAAAATTAACCCCGCCCACCCACCCCATCTCAATTGTGATGATTTTTTTTATTATTACAAACTTAAAACACGTTTAAATACAATGAAACATTTTCGAAAAATTATAAATTTTTTTTATGAAAACCTCTTTTTCGGGTAATCAGTTTGAATTTTTTTTAATTTTTATTTCTCTAAATTTTTGGATTTTTCGGTTTCAAGGCTTTTTTTAATTTTTCGATTTCTAATTGTCTGAATTTCCCATTTTACATTTCATAAATTTTTATTAATTTTTCAGCTTCAGAATTTTTCTCTTCAATTTTTTTTTTAATCTGAAATTTTCAGATATTTTTGATTTTGAAGTTTTTCAATTATTCCTTTTTTCGGTTTTACAATTTTTCGAGTATTCAATTTGACATTTTTAAATTTTAGGAGTATAACTTTTTAATTTTGAATTTCTCAATTTTTCGTTCCTTTAAATGTTTCAAATTTTCAATTTTTCGTTTCATTTTTTCATTGTTTTTGCAGTTTTCCGAATTCAGTTATTCGATTTTACGATGTCAGTTTATCGATTTTTCTTATTTTTGATTCATTCCATTTTTTTATTTTGTTGCAGTTTTTCGAGCCTTCAGTTTGAAATTTTTAAATGTTTCTTCAATTTTTGAATTTTTCAGTAGTTTAAATTTTTGGATTTTTCAATTTTCAGTGTTTTTAATTTTCCGTTTTCTCAATGTCCCGATTTTTCAATTATGTATTCTTTTCATGAATTTTTCTAGTTTTCAATTTTGTGGTTTTTGCAACTTTAAAATATGCATTTCTCCAATTTTTGCATTTTTGGGAGTTATGAATTGTAAATAATTTAATTTTCCGATTTTTTGAATCTTCAATTTTTTAGTTTCTCGATTTTTCGTTTTTAAAATTTTTCGATTTTCCAATTTTTCCTGTCAACAATTTTTCGATTTGCAATTTGTCGAGTTTTCATTTTTCGACTTTTGAATTTTACAATTTTTTATTTTTGCAACTTTTGAATTTTTCAGTTTTTAAATTTTTTGTTCCTTCAAATTCTCATTTTTCATTTTTCCGAGTTTTCAATTTTTATATATTTTCTGATTTTTCCTTTTATCAAGTTTTGGTCCTTCAGTTTTTCGATTTTACGATTTTTCAGTTTTACATTTTTCCATTTTTTTATTTTTCGGGTAATCAGTTTGATTTTTTTTTTTTTTTATTTCTCTAAATTTTTGGATTTTTCGGTTTCTAGGCTTTTTTAATTTTTCGATTTCTTACTGTCTCGATTTCCCAATTTTATATTTCATAAATTTTTGGATATTTCAATTTTTCGGTTTTTCCAAATTTTAATTTTTCTACTTCAGAATTTTTCTCTTCAATTTTTTTTATCAGATATTTTCAGATATTTTTGGTTATTGAATTTTTTCAATTATTCCATTTTTCGGTTTTACAATTTTTCGCGTGTTCAATTTGACATTTTTAAATTGCTTATTATTATTGCTTATTATTAAATGCTTAAAATTTTCAATTTTTTGTTGTTGCAATTTAGAATTTTTCAACTTTAAAATATGCATTTTTATTTTCAACTTTTCCATTTTACAATTTTTTTTCATAAGTTTTTCGATATTTCGATTTTTCGGTTTTTATAATTTCTAATTTTTCAACTTCAGAATTTTTCTTTTCTTTATAATTTTTTGAATCTTGAATTTTCCAATTTTTCATCTGTTTAAATGTTTAAAATTTTCAATGTTTTGGTTGTTGCAATTTAGAATGTTTCAACTTTTCATTTTTTTATTTCTTCATTTTTACTGTTTTATTTTTCTTTTTTAAGTTTGAAACTTTTCAGTTTTTTAATTTTTTTAAGTTTTTCAATTTTCTTGTTTTTCAATCATTCCATTTTTCGATTTTGTTTGCAATTTTTCGAGCACTCAGTTTGAAATTCTTAAATTTTGTCTCTCTAATTTTTTCATTTCTTCAAATTAAATTTTTCGAGTTTTCGCTTTTTTGATTTTTCGTTTTTTCGATTTTACGATTTCTCAATTTTCCGTTTTTATGATTAAAATTTTTTGATCTCTATTTTGCAATTTTTCGATGTTACAATTTTTCGGTATTCAAGTATTCAATTTGAAATTTTTTAAATTTCTAGTGTTTTTAATTTTTCGTTTTCTCAATACCCCGACTCCTCAGTTTTCTTTCCATGAATTTTTCTGGTTTTCAATTTTTCAGTTTCGGCAGCTTTGAAATTTTCAACCTTAAAATTTTCGTTTCTTTAATTTCTGCATTTTTTTGAGTTTCGTATGTTAAATATTTTAATTTTTTGATTTTTTGATATCTCAGTTTTTCGAATTTTCCGATTTTTCAGTCATTTTATTTTGAATTTTTCCATTTTACCATTTTTTTAATTTCCCAATTTTTCATTTCTTTAAATTTTTCGAGTTTTCAAGTTTTATGTCTTCAATTTTCCGATATTTAAATTCCTTATATGTTAATTTTACGTTTCTTCAATTTTTCGGTTTAATAGTTTTCGGTTTACAATTTTTTTGAGTATTCAATCTGGAATTTTTTTATTTTTTCAATTTTTTATTTGAAAATTTTGCAGCTTTTCAACTATTGAAACTTAGATTTTTCAATTTTAAATTTTTTAGATTTTTCGGTTTTTAAGTTTATAATTAAACAAATTAAAACGTCCACCTTTTTTGCAGCCCCTAACATGTACTCTTTCAACGTTCCCTTAACCAACGAAACCAACTTCGCCGAAAAAATCCAAGAAATCATTAACAAATACACACAAGGAAAACCCCCAAACAGATACGATCATCAGTGTAAATTCAGGAACGTTCTGGAAAACACACGAACCACCCCAACCCCTCCAGTCGCACCAGAGTTAAAACCCAAACCTGAAGACAAAATCCCTCCCATGTGCAAATGTTGTAAATGCAAACACCAATTGTCACCCGCTCCCGACGAACGATTCGTCGCAGAAATCACCCTTAAAGCCCCTGAACCCGAAAAAAAAGCGTCATCAAGTTCGCACTGTACGTGTTGCAAGTGCAAGAAACGTACGGACAAAGTCGTACCACCAAAAACGCGTGACGCGGCTTGTGATTGCTCTTGTAAGGTCCAGGGAGTGGAGAGTACCCAATGTCAAACTGACTGTGTTTGTTGCAACAAAGAGATGCAAACGGATTACAAGTGTCAGACCGAGGAGTGTACGTGTTGCAATAAAGAAATGCAAACGGATGACGACGTTAATAGGGAGAGAATGAGAATGAGCGATTTGGAGTCCACTAAAAGTACGTCACAATCGGGTACTTCTAGCACTAGTAGTACTTCTGGAACCATGTCAAGTAGTGGGCAGTCAGCTCAGACGTGCTTGTGTTGCAAGCGCAAAAACGTCACCGAGAAACATTTGTACAGTCTTAGGAAAAAGTTAAGCGAGGAGGTTTACCCACTCTGTCGACCGTGCTATAGACAAAATCGGATGGGTGCCTATCCACCAAATTGTTACAACAATAGTACCCATGTCTGCAATTGTTACACAGTGGTGAAAACTAAAACGCTTAACGAAATTAAAAACACGATTAACCATTTGAATGAATTGGAAGAGTACTGTACTTGTGTTAACCCCGATAATCGTAACACTTCGGACTACTGCAAGTACTGTAAGTGCAAATTGAAGAGTACTTGTAATAATAGAAACGGGATAGCGTATATGTTGACGTTCGATGAAACCCTCCGCGAAAAGAAGAAGAAACACAAAAAACCGCATTTGGAAGAAATTAAAATTAAGATTCCGGTTTCGTATAAAAAGAAGCGAAAAGACAAGGAAAATAAGAGAAAGAAGGCGAGGCTAACGGACGATAGTGAAGAGGCGGGGTCTAGTGACGTGCGAAGGAAGGCGGGGTCTACGTTACAAGTATGTGTGATTGGGGGATGACGTACAATAAATACAAAAAATATTAAATTTTAGGAATATTTAAGGCAAAATCGTCCCGATTTTGTTGAAGAAGCGGAAGAGAGGAGACAAACCGTGAATGAGTCGAAGGCACTGCGAGAAGAAATGTCGGACTATAAAAAATTGATGTTTTTGAAAAAGTGTCAAGAGGAATGTGAGAGAAGTACGACGGGTTAATTTTAATTAACTTGATTGAATTAATTTGGTGACTTTATTTTAGGAGCCAAGCGACTATTTTCTGGCAAAGAAATGAAAGAAATCACTAAGAGAAACTACAAGAAGTGTCCAGAAGTTCAACAGAAGTTGAATGACAATAGAGAAAGACAGTTGCGACAAGCGAACCGATTAATGGCCGATACTTTCAATAGGGTGAGTTTCCGGTAAGTCTTCCAAATCCTCCCTCCTGTATTAAACAATCTTCCTTTTTTTAGAAATTGAGGGAAAACGTCCTGAAGGGAAAGCGAAACTTATCCACCAATACCAAAGTCATTAATATGTAATTACTAATTACTAATTTTTGTTAGAGTATATTTTTCTACCAAACCTAACCTACGTACAACTTATTGTGGACAATAAATACTGTTTGTAAAAAGTGCGTTTTTTAATCGCCGGCTTTAATTGTAGCGCGAAATAAAAATCAACTCACTGTAACAAGACATGCCAAAGGTGGCTCTTACTATTCGGATCCCATAACATTTTCACTAATGGCGTCATCATTTAACTAGGATGAACTTGCTACGAAAAAACGCTACGTTAAAAAAATTGTAGATAAAATCGTAAATACGAAATATAGCGAAGATAGTACGACCAGTTCGGAGCTATTTGTCCCCAAAAGACAACCAAACAAAGACGGTGTACCAAAATTTTCAATCAAAACTTTTACCGACGAATTTGTGCCCGGATTTGAACGTAACAAAAGATGGATTTTAACTGCCACCCACCAGAATGGTGACCCAAGCGTCTTGGGCACAATCGACTCCAAAACGAGTCTAGAAAAACAGCAAAATCAGTCGTCTGGGAGCTACCACAGCTGGAAAAACGACAAAACCGAGTCGGAAAAATTACTCGAGGAAAAGCAGCGCGGTCAAGGCGATCAGCTGGTTAAATTCGCGATGAAAGAAAGGCAGCACCAGATAGCGTGGATTAACGACGAAATTTCCCACTTGATCAAACTGAAAGGGTTATTGGAGAAAAAAAGCCAGAAGACGACCACAGTGTATATGGTTTCTGACTGTGACTGTTTGAGTGGGAATGCGGCTTCAGGTTCTCGGGGTCCGTCGCCCAGGAATTACGTGATTGAAACTGAGGTGTCGACGAGTTCTTCAAGCGGACCGGTGGACTACAATTTGTACGATAAAGACGGGAATAGAAAGAATTATCGGGTTAGAGAAACTTCCGCACAAGCGAATTTAAATTTTAATAGGAAAGTCGTACGGGATATTGAAGTCGTGTCTGATGATAAGACGACAAGTATTAAAGTGGGGGCTAAGAAACTAGAAGGTAAAGATATTGGTGGGTTTAAACCTAAACCTCCAACTTTGATTGGGTTTGGGAAGTATGATACTTTCCCTAGGAGCAAGGCAGAAGAAGAGAGTTGTTGGCCGTGTGGACGGGTGAGGTCAGCGAAGGGTGAGTATTTTTTCAGTTTTAATTTCATAATTTGTTGATGTTTCATAACTTCTAGAATATGCAAAAGTAGGTCCCTCGTTTCCCACGTTGTCTCTGATACGATACTCAGACGCATGTTTTTTATTTCTTGTATAAAAATAAGGAATTTGCAATTAAGCTCCGCCTCTCGGCTTATGACGAATAAAAACAAATCATCAGAATTCAGATTGGGTGGGTGGGCGGGGCTTATATTTTGCCTTTTTTTTTTTCTTAATATAAATAGCCATCTTTTCAGAACAAGAGACTTTAAACATGGTTAAAATGGTACATTTTTGCAAGTAAATATTGATTTTGGAAATATAAATTACAAATTTTCCATGTTGAACATGTTTTAAGTTTCATGTTGTGAACAAAAGTCTGCACATATTAAAACAAAAAGGCAAAATATAAGCCCACCCACCCGCCCTATCGCAATTGTGATGATTTTTTCTTATTCGCCGTGAGCCAAGGAGGCGGAGATTAACTGCAAAATACTTATTTCTTTACAATAAATTAAAAACGCCCCTTTGAGTATCGTGTTGTTCAAAGAATATTGTGTATATTAAGAAAAAAAGGGAAAATATAAACCCCGCCCACCCACCCCATCTCGTTTGTGATGATTTTTTTTATTCTTAGAAACGTAAAACACGTTTCAAATATAAATGAGAAATAATAACGATTTTACAATTGAGGTAAATTCGGTTCCTTTGGCTCCCGACGATAAAAAAAAATCATTACAATTGAGACAGGGCGGGCGGGCGGGGCTTATATTTTGCCTTTTTTCTTAATATACGTAGTCGTCTTATCGTGAAAAGAAGTCTACACATATTAAAACAAAAAAAAAAACAAAATGTAATCCCGCCCACCCGCCCTGTCTCAATTGTGATTATATTTTTCCATTGGCCGTGAACCAAGGGGGCGGAGCTTAACTGCAAAATACTTGTTTCTTACAAGAAATTAAAAACATGTTCTTGAATATATCGTCTTGTTCAAAAAATACTTTGTATATTAAGAAAAAAGGGCAAAATATAAACCCTGCCCACCCACCCCATCTCAATTGTGATGATTTTTTTTATTATTAGAAACTTAAAACACGTTTAAATACAATGAAACATCCAACATTTTCGAAAAATTATAATTTTTTTTAAAGAAAATTTCTTTTTCGGGTGATCAGTTTGAATTTTTTTAAATTTTTATTTCTCTAAATTTTTGGATTTTTCGGTTTCAAGGCTTTTTTAGTTTTCGATTTCTAATTGTCTCGATTTCCCAATTTTACATTTCATAAATTTTTATTAAATTTTCAACTTCAGAATTTTTCTCTTCAATTTTTTTTATCTGAAATTTTCAGATATTTTTGATTTTGAAGTTTTTCAATTATTCCATTTTTCGGTTTTACAATTTTTCGAGTATTCAGTTTGACATTTTTTAATTTTAGGAGTATAACTTTTTAATTTTTTCATTCCTTTAAATGTTTCAAATTTTCAATTTTTCGGTTTATTTCTTCATTGTTTTTGCAGTTTTCCGAATTTTAAGTTATTCGATTTTACGATGTCAGTTTATCGATTTTTATTATTTTTCATTCATTCCATTTTTCGATTTTGTTGCAGTTTTTCGAGTTCAAATTTTTAAATGAGTCTTCAATTTTTGAATTTTTCAATATTTTAAATTTTTGGATATTTCAATTTTCAGTGTTTTTAATTTTCCGTTTCTCAATGTCCCGATTTTTCAATTTTTCTTTTCATGAATTTTTCTAGTTTTCAATTTTTTAGTTTTTGCAACTTTTATTTTTTCAACTTTAAAATATGCATTTCTCCAATTGTTGCATTTTTGGAAGATATGAATTGTAAATAATTTAATTTTCCGATTTTTCGAATCTTCAACTTTTTAGTTTCTCGATTTTACGATTTCTCAGTTTCGATTTTTATTTTGCAACTTTTCCATTTTACAATTTTTCGATTTTTCGAGTTTTATTTTTCGATTTTTAAATTTTACAGTTTTTAATTTTTGCAACATTTGAATTTTTCGCTTTTTAAATTTTTTATTCCTTCAGCTTCTTATTTTCCATTTTTTTCGTTTTCAATTTTTATATACATATTTTAATTTTTCCTTTCATCAAGTTTTGGTTTTTCAGTTTTTCGATTTTACGATTTTTCAGTTTTCCATTTTTTCGTTTCCCATTTTTAGATTTTTATGATTTTCTGGTTACTAGACTTTTTTAATTTTTCAATTTCTTACTGTCTCGATTTCCCAATTTTACATTTAAAAATTTTCTCTTAAAATTTTTTTCCTGTAATTTTCAGATATAGTACTTGAATTTTTAGATATTTTAAATTTTTTAATTTTATGTTTTTCAATTTTTGCTATTTTTCAATTTTTATTTTACATATCTTAATTTTTATTTTTTTTTTTCAAGTTTTTGATGATTGAAGTTTTTCAGTTATTTCATTTTTCGGTTTTACAATTTTTCGAGTATTCAATTTGACATTTTTAAATTTTAGGAGTATAACTTTTTAATTTTGGATTTCTCAATTTTTCATTCCTTTAAATGTTCCAAATTTTCAATTTTCCGGTTTATTTCTTCATTGTTTTGGCAGTTTATCGATTTTTCTTATTTTTCATTCATTCCATTTTTCGATTTTGTTGCAGTTTTTCGAGCCTTCAGTTTGAAATTTTTAAATGTCTCTTCAATTTTTGAATGTTTCAATAATTTAAATTTTTGGATTTTTCAATTTTCAGTGTTTTTAATTTTCCGTTTTCTCAATGTCCCGATTTTTCAATTTTTCTTTTCATGAATTTTTCTAGTTTTCAATTTTTTTGTTTTTGCAACTTTGACTTTTTCAACTTTAAAATATGCATTTCTCTAATTTTTGCATTTTTGGGAGTCATGAATTGTAAATAATTTAATTTTCCGATTTTTTGAATCTTCAATTTTTAGTTTCTCGACTTTTCGTTTTGAAGTTTTTCGATTTTTCAATTTTTCCTATCAACAATTTTTCGATTTGCAATTTTTCGAGTTTTCATTTTTCGACTTTTAAATTTTACAATTTCTAATTTTTGCAACTTTTTCACTTTTTAAATTTTTTGTTTCTTCAAATTCTCATTTTCCATTTTTCCGAGTTTTCAATTTTTATATATTTTCTGATTTTTCCTTTTATCAAGATTTGGTCCTTCAGTTTTTCAATTTTACGATTTTTCGGTTTCTAGGCTTTTTTAATTATTCGATTTCTTACTGTCTCGATTTCCCAATTTTATATTTCATAAATTTTTCGATATTTCAATTTTTCTACTTCAGAATTTTTATCTTCATTTTTTTTTTATCTGAAATTTTCAGATATTTTTGGTTATTGCTATTTTTCAGTTATTCCATTTTTCGGTTTTACAATTTTTCGAGTGTTCAGTTTGACATTTTTATATTTTATAATTTTTTGAATGTTGAATTTTCCAATTTTTCGTTTGTTTAAATGTTTAAAATTTTCAATTTTTTGTTGTTGCATTTTAGAATTTTCTCCAATTGTTGCATGTTTGGAAGATATGAATTATAAATAATTTAATCTTCCGATTTTTCGAATCTTCAATTTTTTAGTTTCTCGATTTTACGATTTCTCAGTTTCGATTTTAATTTTGCAACTTTTCCATTTTACAATTTTTTGAATTTTTCAAGTTTTCGTTTTTAGGTTTTTCGATTTTTCAATTTTTCGAGTTTTCATTTTTTGATTTTTAAATTTTAAAATTTTTAATTTTTGCAACATTTGAATTTTTCACTTTTTAAATTTTTTATTCTTTCAAGTTCTCATTTTCCATTTTTTTCGTTATCAATTTTTATAAAAGTATTTTAATTTTTCCTTTTATCAAGTTTAGGTTTTTCAGTTTTTCGATTTTATGATTTTTCAGTTTTACATTTTTCCATTTTATAATTTTTTGAGTCTTGAATTTTCCAATTTTTCATCTGTTTAAATGTTTAAAATTTTCAATTTTTTGGTTGTTGCAATTTAGAATTTTTCAACTTTTCTTTTTTTATTTCTTCATTTTCATTGTTTTATTTTTCTTTTTTTAAGTTTGAAACTTTTCACCTTTTTAATTTTACGATATCTCAGTTTTTCGATTTTCTTGTTTTTCAATCATTCCATTCTTCGAACTTGTTTGCAATTTTTCGAGCACTCAGTTTGAAATTCTTTAATTTTGTCTGTTCAATTTTTGAATTTTTCATTTCTTCAAATTAAATTTTTCGAATTTTCGATTTTTTGATTTTTCGCTTTTTCGATTTTACGATTTCTCAATTTTCCGTTTTTATGATTAAAATTTTTCGATCTCTATTTTGCAATTTTTCGATGTTACAATTTTTCAGTATTCAATTTGAAATTTTTTAATTTTTCGTTTTCTCAATGTCCCGACTTTTCAGTTTTCTTTCCATGAATTTTTCTGGTTTTCAATTTTTCAATTTCGGCAGCTTTGAAATTTTCAACCTTAAAATTTTCGTTTCTTTAATTATTGCATTTTTTTGAGTTTCGTATGTTAAATATTTTAATTTTTTGATTTTTTGTTATCTCAGTTTTTCGAATTTTCCGATTTTTCAGTCATTCCATTTTATGAATTTTATTTTGCCGTTTTCCATTTCACCATTTTTGTAATTTCCAAATTTTTCATTTCTTTAAATGTTTGGATTTTTCAATTTTTCGTGTGAACAATTTTTTGAGTTTTCAAGTTTAATGTGTTCAAGTTTCCGATATTTAAATTTTTTATATGTTAATTTTGCGTTTCTTCAATTTTTCGTTTTTACAGATTTCGGTTTACAATTTTTTTGAGTACCTATTCAGTCTGGAATATTTTAATTTTACCAATTTTTAATTTGAAAATTTTGCAGCTTTTCAATTATAAAAACTTAGATTTTTCAATTTTAGAGATTTTAGATTGTTCAATCTAGGGTTATAATTAAACTCCAAGAAAATAAGGGTGGGTGGGAGGGGCTAGCACTAAGATAAGAGTGTCAATAAAATAAATTGACAAATTAAAACGCGCACCTTTTTTGCAGCCCCTAACATGTACTCTTTCAACGTTCCCTTAACCAACGAAACCAATTTCGCCGAAAAAATCCAAGAAATCATTAACAAATACACACAAGGAAAACCCCCAAACAGATACGATCATCAGTGTAAATTCAGGAACGTTCTGGAAAACACACGAACCACCCCAACCCCTCCAGTCGCACCAGAGTTAAAACCCAAACCAGAAGACAAAATCCCTCCGATGTGCAAATGTTGTAAATGCAAACATCAATTGTCACCCGCTTCCGACGAACAATTCGTCGCAGAAATCACCCTTAAACCTCCCGAACCCGAAAAAAAAGCGTCATCAAGTTCGCACTGTACGTGTTGCAAGTGCAAGAAACGTACGGACGAAATCCGCGTACCACCAAAAACACGTGACGCAGCTTGTAATTGCTCTTGTAAGGTCCAGGGAGTGGAGAGTACCCAATGTCAAACTGACTGTGTTTGTTGCAACAAAGAAATGCAAACGGATTATAAGTGTCAGACTGAGGAGTGTACGTGTTGCAATAAAGAAATGCAAACGGATGACGACGTTAATAAGGAGAGAATGAGAATGAGCGATTTGGAGTCCACTAAAAGTACGTCGCAATCGGGTACTTCTAGTACTAGTAGTACGTCTGGAACTATGTCAAGTAGTGCGCAGTCAGTCCAGACGTGCTTGTGTTGCAAGCGCAAAAACGTCACTGAGAAACATTTGTACAGTCTGAGGAAAAAGTTAAGCGAGGAGGTTTACCCACTGTGTCGACCGTGCTATAGACAAAATCGGATGGGTGCCTATCCACCTATCCACCAAATTGTTACAACAATAGTACCCATGTCTGCAATTGTTACAGAGTGGTGAAAACTAAAACGCTTAACGAAATTAAAAACACGATTAACCATTTGAATGAATTAGAAGAGTACTGTACTTGTGTTAACCCCGATAATCGTAACAGTTCGGACTATTGCAAGTACTGTAAGTGCAAATTGAAGAGTACTTGTAATAACAGAAACGGGATAGCGTATATGTTGACGTTCGATGAAACCCTCCGCGAAAAAAAGAAGAAACACAAAAAACCGCATTTGGAAGAAATTAAAATTAAGATTCCGGTTTCGTATAAAAAGAAGCGAAAAGATAAGGAAAATAAGAGAAAGAAGGCGAGGCTAACGGACGATAGTGAAGAGGCGGGGTCTACGTTACAAGTATGCGTAGGATACATGATGACGTACAATAAATAAAAAATATATTAAATTTTAGGAATATTTGAGGCAAAATCGTCCCGATTTTGTTGAAGAAGCGGAAGAGAGGAGACAAACCGTGAATGAGTCGAAGGCACTACGAGAAGAAATGTCGGACTATAAAAAATTGATGTTTTTGAAAAAGTGTCAAGAGGAATGTGAGAGAAGTACGAAGGGTTAATTTTAATTGGCTTGATTGAATTAATTTGGTGACTTTATTTTAGGAGCGAAGCGACTATTTTCTGGCAAAGAAATGAAAGAAATCACTAAAAGAAATTATAAGAAGTGTCCAGAAGTTCAACAGAGGTTGAATGATAATAGAGAAAGACAGTTGCGACAAGCGAACCGATTAATGGCCGATACTTTCAATAGGGTGAGTCTCGGGTAAGTCTTCCTCCCTCCTGTATTAAACAATCTTCCTTTTTTTAGAAATTGAGGGAAAACGTCCTTAAGGGAAAGCGAAACTTATCCACCAATACCAAAGTCATTAATATGTAATTACTAATTACTAATTTTTGTTAGAGTATATTTTTCTAGCAAACCTAACCTACGTACAACTTATTGTGGACAATAAATACTGTTTGTAAAAAGCACGTTTTTTAATTGCCGGCTTTAATTGTAGCGCGAAATAAAAATCAACTCACTGTAACAAGACATGCCAAAGGTGACTCCTACTATTCGGATCCCATAACATTTTCACTAATGGCGTCATCATTTAACTGGTATGAACTTTTCCTCTGTTGTGTATTGACCTCATTCGGTTCCGAATTCGAGACATCTACATCACGACGAAACAGATCTGTTCCCATTGATAAGCACTTGAGCAGCAGGAGGTCCAATGTACTCCTGCGGCACTAGTACTTAGTAACAGGACAGTTTAAGTGCGGCGTCGACTTTCCTAGTGCACCCCTGGAAAATATCGTTAATTATTAAATAGGCACACGGTCACGCTATAATCGAATGAAGTCAAGCAGTTGACCAGGGACGGCCTTTTGACAATTGAATTATCATCAAGTGTGATAAATACGTGTCGAAATACGGTTACCTCCTTACGGGTGTTTCTTTAACATTTTTTTCATTCACTCGTTAGACGTCGGAAGGTTAATTGAAACGACCCTTTGTAAATTAAACGTCTGCCGGTTTATAATTGGCTCTTAGAAGATCTGACTAAACGCTCGAGCGTCGTCTCAAGAAAAATCTACAGTAGGTCCGAATTAAAGTACCCCTCCAATGGATTGATGACGTCATCCAAAATTTATTAAACTTCGTCTAAATTTTGATTCAAATAAATGCATGCATGGTGATTGCCTTTCTTGTTTCCGATTACATACACAGGGTGTATCAAAAAATAAATTAAGTGAAACAGATTTTTATCACCACTAACCTTTATCAATTATCACAACGAAATTTACGTCAGAAGCTGTATTTTTCAACCACTTATCAATAGATAATTATTTAACCTTCCACTGGAATACAATTAAGCCATTTTTACTTTAATTTTATTATCAATTGTTTAATCGTATATATCAATTAAAGGTACAATTTGATGACGTCACCCTAAAATTTCGCATGGTAAATGTTATTCAATTTTTATAAAATAACATACTACTTTTGTTTAATTAATAGTAATAGTTTCAAATTTAAAAAACATCGAATTAATTTTTAACTTACCCATTCTAATTTTCTTTATAAAATCACGGACTGGTGGATAGTTCGGATGTGAATCTGGAACATGAAGCGAATTAAAACTCTATTCAGCAGTACTTTTTGGTGAATGATTTAAAATTTAGAATTGAGTTTTGAGTTAATTTACAAATTAGTTTACACTGACATCACCCTGCCTACCTAAATATAAATCTAATTTTTTATGCACTGTTATATTACTGACCCACATGAAGAAGAAACCACATCATGTGCGTAACGCAATTGAGCACAGTTTCCTCCAGCAGATTGCATGATACGGGTATCCCATTCTTGGCGCGGAATCCAGCAACGAGTGGGATGACTAATGCCGGGACTAATAAGGCACCCACCTCTCATTAGTGCCCAGCATTAGCATTTAACATAAATTATAATTAATTTGAAAAAATGCAAATTTAGTTAATTAAATTCCCCAGACTAAAGAAATCATTATTATTATTTTGGAACGTAAAAATTTAAAAGTGAGTTTCCTTTTGAACTCCTGTGGATAATGACGTGACATGTTTTGTAATGAATGAACGCTGATAATGGTCGCTTAGTTAACTTATACTTAATCACTTAAGCCGTCTTAACCTAGCTCTGTTATTTTTATGTCAAAAATTTCGTGCAAATGAAAAATGCAATATTTACCCCTAAGTCCTCCTTCACTACTCCTCGAGTAAAATAAGTCTATTTTTACGCTTAGAAAATGATAATCATTACCTTGAAGTATATTTGTGACCACCGCACTGCCTACTGGACGACTATTTGTTTTAGAAAACATGGTCGGGGGTCATCATAATATCAGCGGGTTAGGGGTCAATGCGATAAGGTCTTTTTTCATTTACATTCAGTCGTTTGACTAATGTCTCACTAATTTAACTCACATGGATTTATCTCTGTATAATTTATCTCCAACGAAAAATTGTTGTATTTTCGAAAATTCGACTTTAGCCCCGGAAAAATCAAAAAAGTACTTACGTTTTTTGCAAAAATAGCGTCATCACACGACACAACGTAGATCTTGTAATAGACCGACACACATCACGCATTAAAGTCTGCCACTGACGTTTAATGAGAGTCAATTGGGTTTATATGCGAAGCCCACATCCCTGTGTTAATTTAACTTAAATTAAGAGATTATTTCCTTTGTACACGTTATTATTCTATTGTAGCCTGCATTGATGCTACTATACCACTCTATGAATAACGCTATTACTATTTATATAAAACAATCTCTGCAAAAAAAGATTTTTAGAACGTTGGCACAGCAACAATTAACACTGAAGGATGCGCCACACTGATTTGGGTTGATATAGGTTCGGTCTGCAAGTGTTACTATTATTACACGAGTTTTTCATTGGTTATAAAAAATTTTTAAACTTATTCCATTTTATCAATCTGTAAACATTTTGAAAATTATTTATTTATACATTTCATAGATTTAGAAAATTTAAAATTGCGATTTGCCGCTCACTCTGATAGTGTTCGTTCCAACTTGACAACGTCAGTTTGACAATTGTTCGATTATAGTTGCAATATCGACAAGGCGGCAAAATCAGCGCATACTTTGATGTCTAATTAAATCGGAACGGACGGACAGACGGAAACATTACACGCTCAATTACGATAATTTTCTTCAATTGCGGGCGAAAAATACCCTAAATCGTGAGAACTTCTTGTGTCAGACATAACAACACTTGAAAAACAAGCCTGCAACCTTCAAAAAACAAACGCGGTGACATTGCTTCTGATTGAACTGATTGCATGATTGGTACTATTACTAAGAGAAAACATTATAAAATTACATACAATAAAAAGTAAATCACTTTTATCGTGTGGAACGGTTCATATTTAAAGCCACACTTTTACCTAAACGTTACCTAATATGCAAATCATGTTAAGACTTGAACACTTGTATGCGAAATTGTAAATTGGCCAACACAAACAATACAATCATTGAATACAGCGCGTGTAAAACGGCACAAGAGGCATTCAGCAAACAGCAGCAGCGTCATGATCATTATCCTATTTAGCCAGAAGTGGTACGTAACGAGATTTAAATATGTTCACCGTGGACAACATACTGTACCAGATGAGCTTTGTTCCATTCATTCAAGTCGTCTGGTCAATTGATTAATTGAATTAAGGTAGATACGGAGACGAAGTATAGGAGATGGATTTATTTGGTGAAGAGAGCGTAATGCGGGACCTCAGACGGGCGGCTACAGGAAACCCGCTAAATGAGGAAGTCGAATTAAAACATATTAAATCTGACACCATGCGCACCGCAAGTCGCCGCTGGAAGTGTCTTAGTTTCTCCACAAAACTAAGCACGGTGCAATTAAGTAAATCATTTCTTAGAATGATTAGAAAAATCTTACTCGATCTTCTGTTTTTTCGTCGTTCCTGGTCGAACACCGTTCACTAAATATAAAGCAGTCACACCGAGGGGACTTAAACACATCACCTTCGGCGCAACTACTTAATACTCAGAGAACGAATTTTTCTACGTTTCTGAAGAAATTGTGAGATGGGTGGAAGCAAAATTCTCTTTATATAGTTATCAGGGGTGGTTTATCATTTCGTCTACTTTCCAGTCGATTCGTAACGAGTCTGTTATTGTTTGTTGTTCGCATTACTTACAGTCTTTAAATAAACATAATGATGGGATAATTACTCGCCATCGCATTTATCTCTTATTGTTGTAGTCACTATAAATAAACGCCGATTGTGATTTATCTAATTTTGGAATTTTAGTTTCAAGAAAAAGTCGCTTTTATTCGGAGAAAAAACTGTTTAATAAGTTTTAGAGCGACGTCATCAACTCTTTAGTGGGGATAAATTTATAGATTTACCACGTTATTAAAATTTCAGGGAAAATACACAGATCGAAAATTTATTATTGCTATTTTCGAACACAAATTTGTTCGTGGTATTTGTCCCAAGATAAGCATTATTTACGAATTTACAATACAGATAAGAACATAACATTGTTAATTTTATTGAGCAAACATTTTCCATTAAAAAAAAATATGTTGGCAGCGCTGACTCATCAATTTCATGGCTTGTTCGATCTAATGATATTTTCAACACAACTTAAATCCGTCCTAGTTAAACTACAATGATAAAATATGATTTTTACGTTTCGACTAAATTTATTAAGTAAACAGGCCCTTCAGTTGTGAATTTTCAATTTTGCCGCCAAATTCGTAACGTCAAGTTACCCCGCCGGTAAGTGTCGTTTCCAAACGATGTCCAAACGCTTCCTAACATAACCTCCAAACCGATTCGCATTATTAAAACTGTTCCACCACATTCACCGAAATGGCTTTAACCAAACCCAAATCCGAGATGACCGCCGAAGAGCTCCAAATGCGCGAAGAAGAGGAGTTCAACACCGGCCCGCTTTCCGTGCTCACTCAGTCCGTGAAGAACAACACTCAAGTCTTGATAAATTGCCGCAACAACAAGAAACTGCTCGGGAGGGTGAAGGCCTTCGACCGCCACTGCAACATCGTCCTCGAGAACGTGAAAGAAATGTGGACGGAGCTGCCCCGGCCGGGAAAAGGCAAGAAGAAAGCCAAACCGGTGAACAAGGACCGGTTCATTTCAAAGATGTTTCTGCGCGGAGATGCCGTGATTATAGTCGTAAGAAACCCCCTGGCCACGGCCAGTTAGTTTGTAGGATTGAATAAATTTTGTATTGCGAGCGTGTTATTATTGATAAATGGACTCACCTTCACAAATGGCTAAGCAGACTGTAATTGCATCAGGTGGTAATTGATATTTTGTGGTCAGCTGACGTGGTAAGTGCACATAAAATGAAGTATTTACTAATATTTATGTAAAATTGACCGTGTATATTTTTGAACAAAAGCAAGGACAGTGGCACTTTTTATTAACATACTTAAAAAAAAAATGGAATGTTTATATCACAATGTTTATATTAAAAATGCCAAAATACTTTATGATTTTATCCTCTTTCACAAATTATGTCTACTACACTAGGTTCCATCAGAATTGGTTCCAGGCACCTGTGTACCGCTGATCCTAATATTTCATCCAGGAGAAAATGGACCAAACTGCAAAAATTTTCAAAATAACAAAAATAATAATTATTTTAACACGTACTTTTCATCTGCCACAAATCGCCAGAGATATAGTTGTAAATAATGAGTGTCCACTTGTATTTGTTGTAACCCATATTTGCTGAACGTTTTCAGACGCACACATTCCATAAAAGTCTGAAAATGTAGTTGTTTGTGATTTAATTATCATCAACTTTATCATACCTTCAGACTAATTTTAATAATCCCAGTCAGAATAGAAATTTTGTTGAATTCTACTGTAGAAAATATTTCTATGCGCTCACTAAATAATTTATGCATGTTTGAAACTAGAGCGGAGTCCAAGTGATTGGGGGTTAAACTAGACCAGTTTGACCTGTATTGGTGTCTTGATACTGAAATACTACAACACAGGTCACTTTTTTCCGATTTTTCTGAATACACACCTGTGCGTTTTTCTACTTGAATCGCTACTGTGTTCTGTATTAGTTCCCTGATCTTCGTATAGGAGCGCTACGGTCGCATCAATTGCGGAAATATCTTCAACCACACGTTTCATTACAGCTCTAACAGTCCTAGGTTCAATAGTGTGAAGCCAATCTCTAGTTTCAACACTTTTTCTTAACATCTACAATCCACACAATAATATAATAATCAACACCCAATATAATAAAAATACTTGTGAGACATTAAGTCCTTGAATCCTCACAAAATAGTTCAGCAATTCTTGCGCAGACTCCTGCATTGTCATACTTATCTCATATTCATTAGTCAAGCCAGCGCTTTGCGCCGGATTTATTTGAAACAACTCGTCAGTTTGTGAAAGCTGTAAAACCCGTTTTGACATCAATCGCGCAATTCGATTTTATTTACCAAAAAACCGACGCTCCCGCTCTGAAAATCTAGACACAACTTTGACAACAAAAGCAGCAAAGTTGGTGGGATTTTTAAATCGGATGCCACTTTTGCGCAGTAGCTTCTAGCGGTGGCCGTTAGGTGGTGCATGAAGCAAACAATGAGGCCTTCTCTGACGTTGTCCACACAGAAACTATCTTTGAATTGGGGTTTTTGAGCGAAATTAATTTCAGGTTGGATGAATACCTGTACAATAAATGATAATTGAGTGTTTATTTGTCATACCACTTGTCTTACCACAAGATCTTGTAAAACCCCTTTAATTTTTTCCACGATTGATAATATAAGTGAGCTGAGGAGCTCATTGAGGTTTTTGGAGGAGTCTTCCTGACTCACGAGTTTCGGCGTGGTTAAACTTTGCCGGATTTTAGTGACGGAGTCGGCGAAGTGCATTTTCAGAATTTGTAAATGTGCTTTGCATTGTTTGCGTCCAGCGTTTATAACGATGTCTGTAGCCACCCTGAAACCGAAAATTAGTGACATTAAGTGTGACGCTTGCGCACTCACGCTGAAAAATCCACGTCTCTACACAACGTGTTGCTTTCAATTCTCCTATAAAACCTATCCAGCGCCTGTACTAAAATTCCCGTATCCCCTACATCCTGCTCCAGATCAACCTTACTTTGTACCAACTCAAAATACTTCTGCATATTTTGTTTAACAAAATTGTTCAACTCCGTGGCGGCGAAATTCTCAAAAATGTCGCTGTTTTCGATATTCTCGTTCGTGTTTCTGTTGATAAACATGTCATCAAAAGACGCTACAACTAGACAAAGGTCGCTTAAAAATCCGGAACAGCCTAGATCAATAAATTCCGTGATATCCCGCTGCTCACTCTGGTCTTTCAGAAGGACTAACTGGTCGCTTAGGCGTTTTTCGGCACAAACTAAAAATTCCGAGCATAGTTCGCTCGCTGGCTCGTTCAACTGGAGTAGTAAATCCACTGACTCTGTCAACTCTTTGGCTGACGCCTGCGGGTCGCTGAAATGTTTGCGCAGCTCTTTTTTTAATTCCACTAAAATGGTTTCACAGTCTGATTTGATCCCCTGCAAGGAGGGTAAATTCCCGTATTGTTCTAACACGCGCTGGGCGTGCAGATAGTCGTGGACGGCCTTAAAAAAATAAATGTAGATGAAAAGTGTAACAATTGCAACAGTTCACACTTCAATGTAGCTTTTTTCTTCCATTCGAGACTTCAAGCTTGTTGGTAGTTTAAACAGGAATTGCAGCCGCTGCAAGAGGGTGTGCACGCCTGATAGTTTGTTGATTTGGGTTCTAGTCCCCCGCAGGGTCGAGTTAATCTGGTCTGAGAACGACGTGATTGAAGCCATGTTTGACGCCAACAGATCCATTTCAGTTTCCATTTTTTTAAAGTCGACTTTCATCTGGAAGCAACGTTAATGGTTATAAGGTGGTATCAAGCTAGTGGTATGAATAAACTACTCACTTTTTTTATAGTGTCTGTAGCAGATATAAATTTGTTGTAGTTTTCATATACTAGGGTTTGCATGTCGGAATGTAGGGTTTGGGTGTCTTTCACGATTTCGCTTTCGTGGTCCATTATTTGTTTTAGGTTTGATTCCTGAAAAAAAAATTGCTTGTGGTTGAAGTGGTGACAAGTGGGTTGTTTACTTTGAATAGTTTGTCCAAGTACATGTTAGGGTTGAAATTGGAGCTGTTGAGGTCCAAAGGGTTTGGTTTTTTTTCAGTCATGGTTGTTTTTTAATGACTGGTTTTTCTAAAATATCGCTGTTCTAAAACAGGTTGTGGTCGTTTGACGTTGTTTTGACAGGTGACGTTGTTGACAGCTGCTGCATCACACTAGGCAACCAAATATTCCCAACATGAATTTCTAGTAAGTCAACGACGGGAATTTGGGGTTACCTATAATTTTTGTAACAGATTGGCTATAAACTTTTCCTCATTTTAAATTTGGTGCCTCGAAATGCACCAAGAATGTTGTGTTTAATTTAAAATATTCATTGTTTCATTGTCGCCAACCTCAAGAAAGTTTGGTATTGGGTTGTCATTAGCTGTGGCATTATTTTAACACAGACAGCAGTTTTGTCCCCCTAAGTTTGCAAGTGAACTCTTCCGTATGATTTTACGTCCACTGCGACATTTTGTGACTGTATTCTTCTTAATTTTTTTTGAAAAATTTTAAATTATTAGGCAACCAATAATACACTTAATGACATTAATTGGCTTATTCTAAGACTCTTTTCTTGATTTTACAACTTTATAGTGAATAATCGTTTTATATACTTTTGCAATATTGTAATGAGTCATTTGTTAAAGGTTTAAATTTTAGAGTTATTCATGTGTGTATTGTTGGTTGTATAAGCAAAAGTGGGTAATATTAAATACCGGGTGTCTGGAAAATTGCGGATTAACTCTTCAGTACGTTATGTATAGGGGTTTCGGGAGGAAAAATTCTTCAAGAACAAAAACAACAAAAGAAAAATCCATTAAAGCAAAACCAGCTAAACACTAGAGAAGATGTTCAAAATTCCTGCCTTATGCATATTCCTCCTGATTTTGGCAATGACATACCTTCTAAGGAAAGAGAGGGTGGGTGGGCGACACAAGAACCTGTTAAGACTGATTTTGGCACATGACATTTTCTCTAAGGAAATAGAGGGTGGGTTGGTGGGGCTAGTATCTGCCAAGATAGCACTGATTTTAGCAAATGACGTATCCTGTAAGAAATTTAATTAAACTAGTATAAGAAAAGACACTAGAGGCTCCAAAGCACTTTCAGATTCTAATTCACAAATTGTTTTAAACTTTTCAAAAAAAAAAAAAAAACTGTGTCCCAAGATTAACACACAAACAGGTCAAATCAGAATTTTCCAAAAATAAAACACCAAAGTCCTCCAAAATTGTTTTAAACAATTTACAAAAAGAGTCTCCATGGGCTAGCAAAATAATACACCATGGGTACCCCAACACTGCGACACTCAAAATTTTTCAGATTCGTAAAAAGTAAAACAGTAAAAGCCCATTAAAGCATAACCAACTAAACACTTGGGTTGTTCAAAATTCCTGCTTTGTTCATATAAGTAGGCTCGTAATGTTTCCAAATTTTGACAATTTTTTATAAAAGTTAGTCATCAGCACTTGGTGGGGGGGCTAGTAGCTGCTAAGATAAGACTAATTTTGGCAGATAAGATAGTCTCTAAGAAAAGAGAGGGTGGATGGGCGGATTCTAGTACCTGCTAAGATAAGACTGATTTTTGCAAATGAGATACCCTAAGAAAAGAGAGGGCGGGTGGGCGGGGTTAGTAGGGCTCATTTGCCAAAATCAGTCTTAACAGGTTCTACCCCACCCGCCCGCCCTAGATTTTTTTTCATCCTTTTCGACTTTTTGGTATTTTTTTGTACATTTTTGTCTCCTTTTATAATTTTTGTTTTTATTTTTTCCTTGTCGCCTATTTTTGTGTGGTTTCTTTTGCAGTTTTTGTTATTTTTCTCAAGTTTTTTGTGGAATTTATTTTGGACTTTTTCTCACTTTTTGATTCCTTTATTTGTTGTTTTTTTTTATTGTTCGATTTTTTTTAACCTTTTTTGTCGCCTTTTATCATTTTTTTTACTTTTTTCCTTGTCGCTTATTTTTATGTCGTTTTTCCATTTTCCTGTCTTTTTTTCTAGTGTTTTTTGTCATTATCTTTGATTTTTTGATCTTTCACCTTTTATCAGTTTTTTTTACTTTTTTCCTTGTCGCCTATTTATGTCGTTTTTCGGCCGTTTTTTTGTCGTTTTTCCTATTTTTTTTGTGGCATTTTAATGGCCATTTTTGTTACCTTTTTTACTCATTTTTTTGTTGCTTTTTTATTGTTTGATTTTTTTTTAACTTTTTTGTCGCCTTTTATCAATTTTTTTACTTTTTCCCTTGTCGTCTATTTTTATGTCGTTTTTCGGCCGTTTTTTGTCGTTTTTCCAATCTTTTTTTCGCATTTTAATGGCTATTTTTGTTACCTTTTTGACTTCTTTTTTACATTTTTTTGTCATTTTTCTTTTTTTTTCCTAGCGTTTGTTTTTGGCATCCTTTTTGATACTTTGGTATTCTTTTAACTTTTTCTTCGTCTTTTACCAGTTTTGTTACTTGTCGTCTATCTTTGTCGTTTTTTTTCCGTTTTGTTGTTTTTTCAAGTTTTTTGTCGCATTTTTTTGGCCTTTTTTTGTCACCTTTTGCACTTTTTTTTTGTTACTTTTTTGTCATTTTTCTGTCTTTTTTGTCATTATCTTTGATTTTTTGATCTTTTTTAACTTTTTTGTCACCTTTTATCAGTTTTTTTTTTACTTTTTTCCTTGTCGCCTATTTTTATGTCGTTTTTTGTCGTGTTTCCAACATTTTAATGACCATTTTTGTTACCTTTTTGACTCCTTTTTTTTGTTGCTTTTTCCTTGATTGTTTTTTTTTTTAACTTTTTTTGTCGCATTTTATCAATTTTTTTACTTTTTTTCTTGTCGCCTATTTTTATGTCGTTTTTTCCATTTTTCTGTCTTTGTTTTCTGGTGTTTTTTGTCATTATCTTTAATTTTTGATCTTTTTAACTTTTTTTTCACCTTTTATCAGTTTTTTACTTTTTCCCTTCTCGCCCATTTTTATGTCGTTTTTCGGCCGTTTTTTATCGTTTTTCCAACCTTTTTGTCACATTTTAATGGCCATTTTTGTTACCTTTTTGATTTCGATTTTTCTACATTTTTTTGTCATTTTTCTCTTTTTTTTTTCTTACCGTTTTTTGGCATCCTTTTCGATACTTTGGTATTCTTTTAACTTTTTTGTCGTCTTTTACCAGTTTTGTTACTTTTTCCCTTGTCGCCTATTTTTGTCGTTTTTTTGCCGTTTTTGTTATTTTTTCAAGTTTTTTGTCGCATTTTTTTGGCCTTTTTTTTAATCACCTTTTGCACTTCTTTTTTTGTTGCTTTTTTGTCATTTTCTCCTTTTTTGATTTTGGTATTTTTTTAACTTTTTTGTTGCCTTTGATCACTTTTTTAATGTTTTACTTCCCGAGCGTAAGCAAAGGAAGTATTGTAATCGAGTCCGTCGGCCGACTCTCTACTTTTACGTTTTCTCGATCTTTCATGACCCCTAGAAGACGAAGAAATAGGTCTCCCATTTCCGTCTGTCTGTCCGTCTGTCCGTCCGTCTGTCCGTCTGTCCGTCCGTCTGTCCGTCTGTCCGTCTGTCCGTCCGTCTGTCCGTCTGTCCGTCTGTCCGTCTGTTGTCCCGGATTTTTATTAGACAGATAATCTCCGAAAGTACTCGACCGATTGTTGTGAAATTTTGTACTTATATTAAGAATATCATGTAGATGGTAAAACGCTAACCAAAATTTGTCGAATCATCCCCACCACTAAAGCGATGACGTCACTTCAAAATTGTACATAGTAAATGGGTTTTCAATTGTATAAAATAACATAGTCCTACACATGTAGTTTACAACTCTGAATCGACTTTTCACCCGAAACGTCCAGATTTTTGGAAAAAAAATCAAAATTATAAAACAACATTTTGAAATTTAATTTTTAATCTGCTAACCAGAATGCTTTGAAATGTTGCAGATGTTTTAAGGCTATAAAGAGCATCATAAATCTTTAGTCAAAAAATATTTGCTTATCCCCTCCAAAAACTTGATGACGTCAGCTCAAAAGTTTGTGGAATAAATCATATCTAAAATGTACAAAATATGATGAGTCTGTACTTGTGATCTATCACTCCATTCATATTTTTTGGATTTGCATATACAGGGTGACTCAAAAAAATTAATGAATGCGTAAATATATTTTATTGATTTAATCAGGAACTACAAAACCGAATGCTCTGAAATCTTGCAGATGTTTTAAGGTCATAAAGAACATAATAAATGTTTAGTCAAAATATATTTGCTTATCCCCTCCAAAAACTTGATGACGTCAGCTCGAAAGTTTGCCGAATAAATCATATCTAAAATGTACAAAATATGATGAGCCTGTACTTGTCATTTATCACTCCATTCATATTTTTTGGATTTGCATATACAGAGTGACTCAAAAAAATTAATGAATGCGTAAATTTATTTTATTGATTTAATCAGGAACTACAAAACCGAATGCTTTGAAATCTTGCAGATGTTTTAAGGTTATAAAGAGCATAATAAATTTTTAGTCAAAATATATTTGGTTATCTTCTACAAAAAACTGATGACGTCAGCTCAAAAGTTTTCCGAATAAATCGTATCTAAAATGTACAAAATATGATGAGTCTGTACTTGTGATTTATCATTCCATTCATATTTTTGGATTTGCATATGCAGGGTGACTCAAAAAAATTAATGAAGGCGTGAATTTATTTTATCGATTTAATCAGGAATTACAAAACTGAATGCTTTGAAATCTTGGGAATATTTTAAAGTTATTATAAGCATGGTAAACTTTTGTTCAAAATGTATTTGTTCATCCCTCCTAAAAAAATTGATGACGTCACCCTTAAATTTTGCTGAATAAATCCTATCTAAAATGCAAAAAATATGATGAGTTTGTACTTGTGATTTATCATTCCATTCATATTTTTTAGATTTTCTTAAGAGGTGGTTCAAAAGAATTAATGAAGTCAATTTATTTTATTGATTAAATTAAAGGCAACACTTATTATTAGTATTACACCCCAACCAACCCAATTTGGTAGACACAAAATTTGTTAAAGGAAAAACTCGGTTGAAACATAAGGGTAGCACGCTTATTTACATCGACTTTAACATTACAGACCTGCATTTGTTTTATGCGTTCACTTGATTCCGCGAATGTGAAATAGACATGTTTATAATCAACCAATTGTGAATTTCACCGTCAAGAATTAAAATAAAACCCAATGTTTTATATAATAAGCGGAAGTCGAAGCAATAAAACCGACGGTCGTTTTGTTTACAGTTTCTGTGTTTGGCTCTCACGTATGCTGCTACGCCTGTCATCTTAAATTAACAATGTTTATACATACACGATTTTCAGTTGCCTCTGATACGTAGGTATACGTGAGTAAATTGTTTCGTTATTTTATTGATTATTACAAATCAATATTCAAACGACCCAATTCATTTTCCCGAAAATTTGAGAATACAATAATTTTATTCTTAGTATTACACTACATCTATCCCAACTGATATACGTGTCCTTGCAAAAATGTTGATGACGTCATCGCAATTTTTTTTTAAATTCCCACTACAAAAATGTAATGAGAAAAAAAACACAATAGGCATGCAGTCGTCAAGTTTCCGACAGCGAGGGAAGTACTGTCTAAACTCTTTAGACCAATTTTTTTCGTTTATTTTATCCTGCCTTTTGTAGTTGCTTGTTTGACAGCCTTTTTCCACCTTTCTTCATCTTTTTTTTTTTTGCAAAAAGTGTTTTTGGCTTTCTTTTGTTCGTTTTTGTGGTCGCTTTTTTACTAGTCTTTTTTTCACATTTCTTCGCCTTTTATTTGTCGTTTTTTTCATTTTTCTTTGTCTTTAATTTCAACATCTTTTTATTTTAACTTATCATAAGAATGAAGAAATAAATCTAAAAAACTAATTTTTATTTGATTTTATTTGAAAGACAAGAGAAGTTTTGTCTATATAACTTTCGACAAATTTAATGTTCGGAACAATAAAACTTTTAAATTTTTACGAACATCCTATATTTTGCCAGCTGCGAGAACTAGATTGTGATTGGCTTATTAATCGAACCAAACCAGATAAAGAGTCAGATACTAGCCCCACCCACCCACCCTCTCTTTTTTTAGAGGATATGTCATTTGCTAAAATCAGTCTTATCTTAGCAGGTACTAGCCCCGCCCACCCGCCCTCTCTTTTCCTAGAGGGTATCTCATTTGTCAAAATCAGTCTTAACAGGCTCTAGCCCCACCCACCCGCCCTCTCTTTTTTTAGATGGTATGTCATTTGTCAAAATTGGTCTTATTTTAGGAGCTACTAGCCCCGCCCACCCGCCCTCTCTTTTCTTAGAGGATATCTCATGTGCCAAAATTAGTCTTATCTTAGCAGGTACTAGCCCCGCCCACCCACCCTCTCTTTTCTTAGAAGGTATATCATTGGCCAAAATCAGGAAACATTGCGAGCTTACTTACATGTACAAGGCAGGAATTTTGAACATTTCTAGTGTTTAGTTGGTTATGCTTTAATGGATTTTTCTTTTGTTGTTATTGTTTAATCATAAAGAATTTTTTTATTACTTTTTTGGGACTTCCGAAACTCCTGTACATAACGTACTGAAAAGTTAAACCACCATTTTCCAGACACCCGGTATAACATAAAGCTAGGTTGTTGAGATTTTGTATGTAGTTTTATTTAGAAAAAAGTGCTACATTCCTCTTAACTTATTAATAGCTATACAATGTTGTTATACAATTTTTCTTTTTTTTGAAAAATTTGTAAGTCGTGGCAAAAATCAAAGCTGATTCATTAACCCATAACTATTGGAGTAAGTTATTTTATAAAATTTAAATGATATTTATCAAGTAAAATTTTGAAAAGACGTCGTCTAATAGTTGTCGTTTAGTATGATCGACACAGAGTACAGACGACAGACAGACATACAGACAGACAGATAGACGGAGACGGGTATGAGTGCATATCGAATCACAGAAACGTAAGAAGAAAAAACTAATCCTTTTCTTAAAATATATCGATACATTTGATAATGACTGAAGTCTTTCTTGTAGTGGCAATTCTGAATTATTGGCAGCAAAATTTCAATTTGACATCCCTCATAACATTTTAAATATTTTGCCAACCTGACAAAAAAATCACAAACTCCCTATTTAAAAAAACTGCCGAACATTCTTTACCTGTCAAGTAAAATTGATAAGGAAATGGTAAACTGAAAAATGTCTCCCCCATCACTTTTTACAGCACAAAATATGTTTTCCTTCGAGAGTTGGTCATATATTTTCACGCACTTTTGTATAAATTGTTTGTCCTTTCATGGCTTTTTGTACATAACTTTACAGTAGTAAGTATAATAACAGCAATAATATTAATAACAATTAACAACAATATGAATAATCATGTTACGGGACGTGGTGGTATTGACAATATATTTTTTTGGCGACAAATTTCAAAGGTTGCTCGACGACTTTTTTTTTATCTTGTGGTACATGAGTAATATCATGAGAAATCCTAAGGGAAATCCCTGCAGTTGATTACTCACAACAGATTGCTTCATTCATAACGCAATTTTCCTGTACTTTGAAAACTGGGTCCTTGTTCTCCTTTATTGTTTTTTATGTAGGAAGTCGATCATAAAAGATTAACCAATAGTTATTATATTTGTATATGAAGGCCACAAAGAAGAACTTCGGCCGATCTGAATCTACTAATCTAATCAAATGAGGCCGAAAAAGTTCTCTTTGGCCGAGGTACACACATAGTAGTTGGTTGTGTAAGTTGAAATAATGGCCCTTTTGACTTTTATATTTAAAAAAAAGGTGACACTCCATTGACGTGATTAGACCAATTTTTCGTGTTTATGAAAGAAATAAAAGTTACAGTAAATAAATGAGTTATAAAAACATGTTTTTAAAATGTTTATTTGAACACCCGTTGTTTAGTCTATAATCACCGATCGGATATGCGGAGCACTCATGTCTTGTTGCGACAAAATGTCTTCGCAATCAAAAGGCGATTATCGCTTGCTTATTTATTGTGTGATAATGTAATGTTGTAAAACAACACACTTGACACTAAAAGCCGGTATAACATTTCCAAACATTACGCCCACACTTGAGGGTGGCTTCACACGGGCGCGTTGTTTTCCTTTCCCGGACACTAAATTTTGACCTGACGTCATTGACTTTTTGGACGGAGTAATTAGCCAACTTTTAGCATTACATTGCGCTGATCTTCACAATTTAGTGCTCCAAAATGGCGCTTTCGCGTTATTAGTCACCAACCGCCCGTGTGAAAGCCGCTTCGCGCGTATTGATTTCGTATTTGGCGCTAGTCGTGCCAACATCCCAGCGCCGAAGTCCCCACTTCCTAGCTCGTTACAAAAACAGCAATGATGTTTATTTAAGAATCAAATTCGCTCACACTTCTTTAGTCCCGCGTCTGTGCGGTGTCGCGTGTCGGCCTTTGTCGCTTTCGCGAAATAACAAACCATGAAATCAATATACAGTAAAGTCTGATCATGTACCCGGTTTATTTTATTTAGTGCTTACAAATTCTGAATTTCATTCTTCACCTTTCACAGCAAAACATCCTCGCAAAATTCTCTTGGAAAAGCCGAAATTCTTCCGAACACGTTGTTAATTTTGTACCGAAAACATGGATAAACCAGCAAACGGCAAGGGCACAACTTGTTACAAAGTCGTGTTAACAGGAGGTGAGTGCTCGAAATTGGCTGTCACGAGGTTTGTGATGGATTTTGTTTTTGTTATCAGGACCATGCGGTGGGAAAACTACCGGCCAAGCTCGACTGTGCACGTTCTTCGAAAATATGGGCTGGAAGGTATTTTTAAATTTCTTTGATGGGTTAGTTTAAGGTTATCATGTGAATTTCCCAGGTGTTTCGGGTGCCAGAAACTGCCTCTGTTCTACTAAGGTGAGTGATGTCATGTCTTGCACCTAGTTTATTATTACTCACTGGACATTCCCGCCAGTGTTTTGTGTCCAGGCTAAGTTTAACACACTGAAGTCATAGGGTTTTCCTAAGATCATTTTTGGAGAAAGCAACTAATCGGGTTATGTTTGGCTCGATGGTTAGTGGAAGAGTTGAAAGCTTTTATATTGGGAGCCAGCGGGTCTAGTTTGTATTTTTGAGTAAAGTATTTTGGAACAGTGCCGGGATTCAAGCACGTGATTATAAATTTTCAGGCTAAAATAATTCCAGAAATTTTCACATTGTGTCCAATACTGAAATTGTGCTATTTTTGTAGCACTTTGGAAGTAAAAATTTTGCATTTGCGGCTGCTCTGTCAAACAACATTAGTGTTATATAACTCCTATAAATACGTGTTTATAGGTTAACATAATAACAACATTGCTATATTTGTAACATTATTTATTATTGTTATTATCATTATTGTTAATTGAAAGACAAAATATTCAAGATCGCAGTAAACTACAAATAAATATCACGATTTAAACAATAAACTAAAATAAAATTCATAAAAACGCTGCGTATGACGCTAAGGAATCATGCCAAAAGTAACTACCAAGAAAAGTGAAAGTATATTTATGAGTTCAGAGGTAACAGATGCGGAAGGAAAAGCGCGTGAGCAACGAACCTACCTTTCCTAGTGGTTAAAAACTCGATTTACTTGTGGTTTAAGAAAAAAATTACGCTAAGTAAAATTGTTAACTAAGTGTGAACATCTTGCGTAGTTGCCAAAATCTTTTATAGGCTTACTGAATAAATACGACGTGTTAATTTTCGTTAATAATGTTTAGATCCTAATAATATAATTATACTGACATTGAATACATTGAACCTCCTACTTCGCAATAAAAAAATAGATACATTTGAAAATTATTTTACAATTTCTAAAATTGTCAGTGCGGCTACCTTGACAATGCGATTATTTAACAATGAATGACGCAGTTTGTGGTGAAATAATCCAAAATGCAACATGTATAATGAATCAGGACAATAACAAATAATGTTACGTAATGTTGACATGTCGAGATTTAGATTTGTAGACAAACGAAATTCCTTAAACTGGTGAATTAAGGAGCAAAGCTCAAACCGGTCAGAGTTCCCAACAATAAATTACGTAATAGAGTTTTTTGGAAATCAATACATTTTTTATTACTTCTTGAGCGTAAGCTGTCTGTTGTGTGTCAATTTGTATTAGATAGATATCGCAAAAACTACTGAATCGAGTGTTGTGAACTTTTGTGTATATGTTACGAATATTCTGTAGTTGTAGACTAAACATTGGTTGATTATCTCCACCAACTGTGGGGTTACGTCAACAAAATTTACAATAGGGAATATTATTTAAATTGTATAACATAAGATACTTCTGTACTCGTGGTTTATGAATCCGTTATTAGCGTTCAGAACGATTTGTTCGAAGTGAACATTTTGGTAGGTACAGGTGTTAATTATTGACATGCAACTATTTTTTGTTTAATTAAGAAATAGTTCTTTAATTATGTTTGGTACTTGCAAAATTTTAAATTTTTCAATATATCGATTTTCAGATTTTCGATTTCTCAATTTTACAATGTTTCAGTTTTACGTTTTTTCAATTTTACGATTTTTAAATATTTTGATTTTTCAACTTTTAACTTTTATAAACCCTCAATTTTTCGATTTTTCAATTAATCGATGTTTTAATTTTCCCATTTCTTGAATTTCGACTGTTTCGGTTTTTCAGTTTTTCAATTCTTCGTTTTTTCGACTTAATTTTTTGATTTTTCGATTTCTCAGTTTTTCAATTTTTTAATTTCTCAGTTTTTGGATATTTTAGTTTTAGGATTTTTCAGTTTTTCTTCCATTTTCAATTTTTTCGAAACTTCAGTTTTGGAATTTTTCAGTTTGTTATTCAAATTTTCGATTTTACAATTTCTCAATTTTCAATTTATCGATTTCTCAATTTTCCGATGTTTCAGTTTTTCGTTTTTTTAAGATTTTTAAATACATATTTTGATTTTTCAATTTTTGACTTATAAAATCTCAATTTTTCAATTTTTTAAGGTTTCGATTTTTCGATTTCTCAATTTTTCAATTTTTTAATTTCTCAGTTTTTGGATATTTTAGTTTTAGGATTTTTCAGTTTTTCTTTCATTTTTCAATTTTTCGAAATTTCAGTTTATTTATTATTCAATTTTTCGATGATTCAATTTTATTTTTAAATATTTTGTCGAAGTTTGTATAAATGAATAAGACCAGCGAACAGTAAGATAAATGTATATTGCTAGTGACAAGTGTTATGATAAATAAGAATGGTAAGTATAGAATATTATATGACCGTGCGGTCGAGATAGTTGAATGTTAGTTACGAATTGAGAATTGAGAATTGAATGTGTATGAATTAGTTAAGAATTAAGAATGAATGCTACCCTGTGTTCCAAGGTGGGGGTGGCTCTGGCTCCCACCCTTACGGGTGGGGATGGGTGAAACAGGTCCCCGCCAGAGGCTCTAACATACCCCCCGCCTTGAAACAATTACATTGTTTTAAGACCAAAAATAAACTATATGGAATATTAGAATGATAAATACAAATGAAATTACATGAATGGGATGGATATTGTTACAGAAAGCAATGAACATGAAGAAACGCATTAAACTTAAAAAAAAAAAGATATTTAAGACAAATTACATTGGTACAATATCAGCGAATACACAATATTTACAATAAACCTAAAAGTAAATTTACAACAATTATAATGTACCAAATCAATGAATAATACGACGAGTGAACAATATGGGGAATGAATATAACAATGGTACAAATATGAATACATAGAACATAGCAAAATAAATCAATAATGAGATGTATATAACAAATTGACAAGATGTATGCAATATGGTTAAATATAATGATAATGCATGCGATTGCGAAATTATCTTTTGCACTTCACCGACACTACACACACCACCACTTCCTTTCCAAAATGATGTTGGAGGGCCGCGTCCTAACCGCCACTGTAGACGCGGAAATTTCTCCTCCTTCACGAGGACCCATCTTGCCATTCCTGGAACGTTGGAAGATGGCCTTTGCCACCCTAACCTGCCTTTCAGTGTGGTCAAATATTCGAGGTACCACGACTTCCAGAAGTGTTGATGGTAAGCGTGGATGAGATGCCAAGGGATGGCCGGTTGATGGGAACGACGGCGTGGTCTTTTCCTGAGAGACCCGTTGATGGCTGGCCGAAAGAGGCATTGGCCAGGTATAAATGCGACCAAATTATTGCGGTCGCTGCACAGATGCTTCGAAAGGCGCGAATTCAGGACGGCTTTAACTCTGACAATGAGCGCATACACGCCCTCGCCCTCAAGATGGTTTTTACCAGTAATTTCGTTATGACTCCGGCGATTCATATTTAAACTCTTTGAACTAAGATTGGAACGGTCAACAACCTCGCAAAGTTTATTGGAAGAAATGTGGGGATTTAGAATACAATTGTGTGACAGGTAAACGGAATTATTTGAGGAATTTTCCTTAAGTACCTTCAGGTGTACAAGGTCTAGGTACTTCCTTTGAGAGACAATAAAACCCTCGTTACGTTTATGATTATGCCCCTCTGCTAACAATAGCAATTGGAGAGCGAGTTCTGGGGAATTTCCTAATTTAGGTAGATTTTCGAAATAAGGGACTGTGGAATGCCCCAACTTCCTCTCGACTGATAATAGCCACTTTGGATGCATTTGTGTAAACCGCGGCTGATTTTCCGAAAAGGGGTGTTTGACCATGAAATAGCCATCGGGTGAATGGCCTGTGGTAGTATACTGAAAAGAGGTTGCACAAAGATCGCTTTTAAACCCTCTGCTTAATGACCTACTTCCGGTTTTGACGGTTTCAGCTTCCAAGAACCGAGAAATAATTTGGGCTGAACTAATTTTGTGATGATGGGAAGTATTATTTTTTACATATGCAAAACTGCCGCTAAGAATCAACCCCAGCGCGGTATTTTGAAGCACCGGTGGGTTTTTACTGAAATGACTTGTTATTTTGGGTTTAGCATTTTCGGAATGTTTTTTCTTGTCGAGTATTGCTACGTTTGACGTGTTGTCTTTAATATTTGAGTCTACGGATTCACATAAATATTGCGACCTAATTTTAAATTGGTTACAGACTAACAATGAGCCACAGTTTTTTGAATTAACTGGAGGACTTTTTACTTTGTCTAGTGCGGTAGATGACTCTGCATTAGAAGTTTTATCTAAATTAATTTGAGATACGCCTTTGGAGTTGTAACAATCATTAAAAAGATTATTTTTCTCTTCATTGGGTGTTGAATTTGGAAATTTTGAAGGATTTGATATTACACTAGGAGTTTTTGAAATAACGGAATCAAGAGGAGATTTTTTACCAATAGTGAACCGCAATTTACGTAGAGCATTGAAATGGGTTTTGTGAATTTTGATGGGTTCTCCACTTCTTAATTTGTGTACCTTTAAAGGCTTTAAATTTTGACAAGTTTTTTCCAGATCCGTGGTTGGTACGTTATTGTTTATCTTACATGAATTCGAGAAAGTACACAATGGAATAGTTTTCTCAATGAGAGCCTTATATAATTCGGATATTTTTTGAATATAATTTAGCACTTCTCTGATATTATAAATTATAGGTTTGATCGTTTCCGTGTTACTCGTGTCATTCGGGACTACTATTGTTTCAGATTTATGCTGAACTACAAGCATTTGTAATTCTGAATAAATTCGCTGTACGTCTTCATATCGACGCTTTAAGTGGCCTCTTTTTTGATGATTTGCAACATTTGATATAAAATTAGAATGTGAATCTATTTCGCTGAGAAGAATTGAAAATTTAACAAAAGTATTGTCTTGGATTACCACCATCTTGAGTACGAGAATAATGTATTACACCAACCAAACAGAATTAAAGCTTACCTGGAATTCTGGATTCCTGGATAGAATTATCTTGGCTGACGCTGAATGATACTTGAGGATTTTGCACAGCACTCGCGGTCGTCACCGATAGTTGAACACTGCGCGGATGATTTCTGGGTGATGTTTTGATAACTACTTTGCTGAATTCCAGCCGATGAATGATATGTTGAGAATTACACTTATCACTACCACTGTTATTCTGTCGCTAATCCGGCTCGAAGGACCATGTCGAAGTTTGTATAAATGAATAAGACCAGCGAACAGTAAGATAAATGTATATTGCTAGTGACAAGTGTTATGATAAATAAGAATGGTAAGTATAGAATATTATATGACCGTGCGGTCGAGATAGTTGAATGTTAGTTACGAATTGAGAATTGAGAATTGAATGTGTATGAATTAGTTAAGAATTAAGAATGAATGCTACCCTGTGTTCCAAGGTGGGGGTGGCTCTGGCTCCCACCCTTACGGGTGGGGATGGGTGAAACAGGTCCCCGCCAGAGGCTCTAACATATTTTGATATTAAAATTTTTCAAATTTCGCGCAGTTTTTCAATTTTTTAAATATTTATGTTTTTAATTTTTCAATTTTTTAAGGTTTTGATTTTTCGATTGCACTGTTTTGAGTTTTCGATTTTTCCATTTTTTAATTTCTCAGTTTTTGGATACATATTTCAGTTTTGAAACTTTTCAGGTTTTCCATTTAGTTTTTCTTTCATTTTTCAATTTTTCGAAGATTCAGTTTTGGAATTTTTCAGATCATTTGTTATTCAGTTTTTCAATTTCTCAATTTTTCGAATTTTCAATTAATCGATGTTTTGATTTTCCCTTTTCTTGACTTTCGAATGTCCGATTTTCCAGTTCTTCAATTTTTCAATTTTTCTGATGTTTCAGCTTTTTGATTTTTCAAGTTTTCGATTTTTTTATGGTTTCAATTTTTTGGATTCTCAGTTTTGGGATTTTTCAGTTTTTCTGTCATTTTTCAGTTTTTCAATATTTCAGTTTTGGAATTTTTCACTATTTAGATTCTTTGACTTTTTGATTTTACCGTTTTTCAATTTTTCGATCTCTCAATTTTCTGGTGTTTCAGTTTTAGGTTTTTTCAATTTTTCTACTTTTTAATTTTACGATTTTTCAACACATATTTTGATTTTTCGATTTTTCAATTTTTTAATTTCTCAGTTTTTGGAGATTTTAGTTTTAGGATTTTTCAGTTTTTCTTTCATTTTTCAATTTTTCAAAATTTCAGTTTATTTATTATTAAATTTTTCGATGATTCAACTTTACGTTTTTCCAATTTTTATCCTCTTCAATTTTACTATTTTTAAATATTTCGATATTAAAATTTTTCAAATTTGACTTTTGTAAACTCGCAGGTTTTTTTTGATTTTTCAATTTTTTAAGGTTTGGATTTTTCGATTTCACTGTTTTGACTTTACGATTTTTCCATTTTTTAATTTCTCAGTTTTTGGATACATATTTCAGTTTTGAAACTTTTCAGGTTTTGCATTCAGTTTTTCTTTCATTTTTCAATTTTTCGAAATTTCAGTTTTGGAATTTTTCAGATTATTTATTATTCAGTTTTTCGATTTCTCAATTTTTCGAATTTTCAATTAATCGATGTTTTGATTTTCCCTTTTCTTGACTTTCGAATGTTTCGATTTTCCAGTTCTTCAATTCTTCAATTTTTCAGATGTTTCAGGTTTTTGATTTTTCAATTTTTCGATTTTTTAAGGTTTAAATTTTTTGGGTTTTCAGTTTTGGGATTTTTCAGTTTTTCTGTCATTTTTCAGTTTTTCGATATTTCAGTTTTGGAATTTTTCGCCATTTCGATTCTTTGACTTTTCGATTTTACAATTTTTCCATTTCCAATTTTCCGGTGTTTCAGTTTTACGTTTTTCCAATTTTTCTCCCCTTCAATTTTACGACTTTTAAATATTTCAATTTTTGCAAATTTGATTTCACTTTTTTAACTTTTTGATTTTTCAATTCTTTTATTTCGCAGTTTTTGGATACATATTTCAGTTTTGAGATTTTTCAGTATTTCCATTCTTCAGTTTTTCTTATATTTTTCAATTTTTTGATTTTACAGATTTATTTTTAGATCTCTCAATTTTCCGGTGTTCAGTTTTACGTTTTTTCAATTTTTCTCGTCTTCAAATTCACGATTTTTAAACATTTCGATTTTTCACTTTTTAACTTTTCTAAATTCTCAATTTTTTGATTTTTCAATTAATCGATGTTTTAATTTTCCTATTTTTTGACATTCGACTGTTTCGATTTTCCAGTTCTTCAATTCTTCCTTCTTTTCCATTTTTTTAAGATCTAGATTTCTCAACTTCATTTTTTGATTTTTCGATTTCTCGATTTTTCATTTCAGTTCTTCAATATTTCAATTTTTCATGTTTTCGAATTTTTCAAATGTTTCGATTTCTTAATCTTTCGGTTTTTCGATTTCCCAGTTTTAGATTTTCTGTTTTTCAATTATTCGTTTTCTCGAATTTTGGTTGTTTTGATATTTTGAATGTTCAATTTCTCGATTTATCAGTTTTTCAGTTTGTAACTTTTCGATTTTTAATTTTGACTTATTCGGTTTCTCAGTTTTTCCATTTTTTCGTTTTCTTATTTCAGTTTCTGAATTTTTCGACTTTATGACTTCTCGATTTTTTAATTTTTCGAGGTTTCGATTTTTCAATTTTTCGATTATTTTAAGTTTTCATTTTTTTTTCTCAGTGTTAATATCGAAAATAACCACAACAATTGTCACTAAAAACATTTAAAATTTCACACAAAGTAGAACACAATGTTTCGAAAACATAAAAATAACTACATTTTCTCGAAAAAAATCCATTGGATTATTACGATTTCAACAATATTGTAAATTTAGGACGTTTTGCTAATATAAAACACAATTAAAAAATTAATTCTTCGTTAAACAAAAAAATTGTTGCATTTCAAAATCGAGTGAAACATGTGACATGATATATTTGTAAATAAAACCGCCTAAATATGTACCAAAAATGTTCACTTATTCAACTATTTCCCGCAAAAATTATAGTTCAAACCAACCAAATCGCTTCTGAACGCTTAGAGTCGAATCTCGCCTGAGCGCGCTCTGGTCTGTAGATCAAACAAGGTTTCAGGTGACGAAATGCTATAGACATTCTCCTTAAACTCACATTTTTAAATAACAATAACATTGTTTTGAATAATGTAGCTTCTCAGGGACACTAACGAGTAATTTTTAATGACACCTAAAATTGCTCGTTTTTTTTTAATGTAAATTCCAAAGCAAACTTGACAAGTTTTTTTTTTCGATCATATGGTACAATGTCGATATTTTCTTTTCACATTGATGTGATATCTATCTTATCATTTTGTAAATTTAAGAAATTTATGTTCTCATCATTGACAAAATTATTTAGGTCATTCCACTAAAGTATTATTCATTTAGAGCAGACTCGAGACACTCGGCAGTTGATTAAATCCAATGATTAAGCTTTCAGTTTAACAAAATAATTATATTTTAACAAGTCAATAATACGTAATTTTATATTATAACAACTTCTAAAATGAACACAACCTCCAGTTAATCAAGATTTTAAACCACTTGATATTTTTATCAACATAGTTGGACACAAGTGGAAAATATTATTACCGATAAAAACATCAAAGAAAAATATCGCTACAAAAGTCTTTGACAACGTTTTCGCTGACTAGAAATGTGGTTGAGTCACGTGTTGTTATCACTACGCGTTATAATGAGTGTGCAAATTTCATGCATTGTGTGATATGAAATTAAATACTGAGTACATAATACTCATCTTGGCCATTCACCGTTTAATAATGATTATTGCGGAAAAATGGAATGATCAATGTTCAATGATAAAACTGGCGCGAAATTGATTCCTCTCTTGTGACAGCTTATTTAGAAATGTTTTCAAAAGATTTTTTTTTCAGCGGCGGGATCAAGTTCAGCGACTTGAGTGAAGAAGAAGGTGAGTCCAATTTGCCTTCGCTTTCAAACCACTAAAATCGCTAATCCACTAACAGCGTCGTAAAACCTATTCAGGCTTGCGAAAACCGGTCAAGAGAAAAAAGATTTTCGAGCATTTTCCACCTCGAAACGAGCCCGGCCCGTTATTCTATTTCTGAATGTGATTAGATTGGATGAGGCCCAGTCAGTTTTGTAATAGAAATTTGTTTTAAATTTAAATGTTCCATTAGACAATGTAGCGACGTACTTTAATTAAAAAGTTGTATCAGTAAATCGATAAGAGATACACCGTTGGCGACTTCCTGTGATAACGACTAGACGATATTACGTGGGACCTGCAGAAAATAGCCCGAAAAATATCCACATTAGTTGGAAAACTTTATTTTTACGCGTCTATTTTTACAAGAAAAATTACTGTAACCGTAAAAATCCGGTTGAGCGTATTTAATTCATAAATTTATTTCCACGATAATTTAGTGATCCATCACGAGTGCTGTCTGCGTCACGTTAAAAACGGTCTGTCGACAATTTTTTGACACCACGAGTGCGTTAAAACAGGAAAATTATATATAAAAATGTTACGTAACGGAGAGATTTGATGATCATCGTGGAAGGTCGTTCACTGATTTCTACTTTTTTTAATCTTAGCACGTGCCAAATCCGAAGCGGATTTATTCGATGAATGTTACACGTTTCGGCTGGACTTTTGGCAAGACGGTGTGACAAAACCGGAAAAATCGGGAAATTTTTTAAACGAGTTTGTTCGTCGACTAAGTGTTAAAATTAATTTTGAATAAGAACCTTGACCTTAACTCATTTGATATAATTGTGACCATGAGGTTTATCGTGCTCGAATTGCCAGTACGCGTGTTTCAAAGACCGTAAGGCTTCCTTGCATATTTTTCCGGCGACCTGGAGCGAAGCCCGTCGTAGATAATTGCGTCGTGTTTAGATAGGAATTTTCCCGTCATTAATAAAATTATTAAGCATTAAGTTGCACAGCAAAAATCGCAGACTATCAGTTTTAGAAAATCGATGTCCTTGTTAAAAAATAATCTGTTTAAACTGTCGTAGCTTCATTTAAAAACGCTCCGGTGACTTCATTGCCACCGACAACCTAAACACTCGTTCTACCCCGATTCTGGTGTTGGTTTAATCGAAGAATCGCACAAAAGGTGAATAATAAACCCACCGTCGTGCGTTACTTTCAATTGAATCATTTAAAATGGGTTCGGCACAATGAAAATCGATAACTATTGCAATAGCGCTCCGGACTGGCATAAAAATGGGTCAGGTGTGTGGCGTTATTTGATATTGGTACACAGAAGGGCTCGGCCTAGGCAAAAATACCCGAAAACTTATTTTTAGGTTGAGGCTGTTTTTGTGGATAGGGCGGAGGGGATAAAGTGTATTATTTTGTTTTTTAAATAACCTCGTACGTCACCGGGAGAAGTAAACACTTTCAAACAATCACATGCTCGAGTGAATTGTTGGCATCGACGTCAAATGACATTGTTATTTTTCATGTTTTATGCGGGCGTATTTTTCAAAATATTGACTGCTGTAAAAATGAGATTATTGTGCGTGTTTTGGTGTTTGCGTTGTTGTTGTTTACTTTGGTAATGACAAGGTCTTTGTTGATAAAGGTGAATTGCGAAAAGTGGCGTTATTTATTGTAATTTTACGTTTCGTTACACTTATTTTTCGCTGTTGACAAAAGCTGAATGAATGAGACAAATTCAAGGCGATCTTACTTTGAGGAAACGTAATCAAAGTTAAAAAACGTTGTAAAACAAACCCATACCTTCTAAAAATTGATGACGTCATATATACTTGTGGTTTTATCATTTATCGATATAAATATGTACACGGAAATTTTATAATCTATTTTAAAACTTACGTAAATCACGGCATTAATATTGATTTAATGATCGCGAAAACATCTGCTAAAATTTAATGATTTCACTTCGCTAAAAACTTGATGATGTCATCTAAATACATCTATATATAAAAAGGGAAGTCGTGACTGACCTCGTATTTCCTCGACGTTCCATGATCCCCAGAGTACGATAAAATAGATCTCCCGTTTCCGTCTGGTTGTCTGTTGTAACCGATTCCTGATTACGATTTGTACGTCATTTGGATCTTTATTTCTAAGAACTATGTCACATAAAATAATCATCCCCTCCAAAGAATTGATGACGTTATATAGAATTTTATTAAAATAAAAATGTAAAAGTTGTGGAATCCGCTGCTGTTTTTAGATTTATCTTGGAAACTATATCACATATTTTTTCGATTTGTTTTATTTATAAGTATGAGAAACATTAATTAAAATGTAAAAGATCATGACCCGAAGAGTGGTAAAAATAGGTCGCCCGTTTTCGTCTGTCTGTTTGTCTGTCGTCTGTGTCGATTTTATTGAAGAGATATTAATCTTCGAAACTACTGGACCTATTGGTCTCAAATTTTATAAACACGTTTAGAATATCATGCAGATGGTGTAACGCTAACCAAAATTTGTATCATCGTAGTAATAACGCGAAGTATGCGGAGGTAGCAGGTTCGATCCCCTCATGAGCCACTTTTTCCCACACTGTGACTATCATTTTTTTTTTAACTTATAAAATAAATAAAATTTCCCAGAATCAAATTTTATTAGTTTTCCAAGAAGCTGGATTTGTTGGACACTCAGAGGTGGCTTCTGTCGAAATAAAATATATTATTAGATATAAATTGATTGATAAAAAATGATGGGGATCCTAAGACAGGTCAAATTGATTGACAAAAAATGATGGGGTCCCAAGACAGCTTAAACTGGCGGGGAAAATGTGTTGGTTTACAAAAAATTATGCGGGTTCTAGAACCGGTCAAATTGATCGACAAAAATGATAGGGTCCTAAGACAGCTTAAACTGGTTGGAATATGTGATGGGGGTCCTAAGACTCCTCAAATTGGTCTACGAAAAATGATATGGGTTGTTCTAGAACCGGTCAAATTGATTGATAAAAAATGACGAGGGGGGCCTAAGACAGGTTAAATTGGTCGGGAAAAAATGATGGGGGTCCTAAGACAGGTTAAAGTGGTCGACAAGAAATGACAGGGTCCCCAATAGAGATCAAATTGGTCGGAAAAAAATGATGGGTTTCCTAAGGCAGGTCAAATTGATCGAGAAAAAATAATGGGATCCTAAGACAGGTCAAATTGGTCGCGAAAAAGTGATGGTGTTCCTAAGACAGATCAAATTGGTCGACAAAAAATGACAGGATCCCTAAGAGAGATCAAATTGATCGACAAAAAAATGATGGGCTTCCTAAGAGAGGTCAAATTGATCGAGAAAAAATAATAAGGTCCTACGACAGGTCAAATTGATCGAGAAAAAATAATGGAATCCTAAGACAGGTCAAATTGGTCGCGAAAAAGTAATGGTGTTCCTAAGACAGGTCAAATTGGTCGACAAAAAATGACAGGATCCCTAAGAGAGATCAAATTGATCGACAAAAAAATGTTAGACTTCGTAAGACAGGTCACATTGGTCGAAAAAAAATGATAAGGTCCTAAGACAGGTCAAATTGGTCGGGAAAATGTGATGGGGGTCCTAAGACAGGTCAAATGGGTCGACAAAAAATGACAGGATCCCTAATAGAGAGATCAAATTGATTGATTGTCCTAAGACAGGTCAAATTGGTTGGGAAAATGTAAAGGGGGGTCCTAAGACAGGTCAAATTGTTCGACAAAAAATGACAGAGGTCCTAAGACATGTCAAATTGTTCGACAAAAAATGACAGAGGTCCTAAGACAGGTCAAATTGTTCGACAAAAAAGGACAGAGGTCCTAAGACATGTCAAATTGGTATGGAAACAGTGATGGGGGTCCTAAGATAGGTCAAATTGGTCGACAAAAATGAGGGGGGTCTTAAGACAGGTCAAATTGGTCTGGAAAAAGTGAGGGGGTCTCAAGACACCCCAAATTGATGGGCAAAATGTGATGGGGGTCCTAAGACAGGTTAAAGTGGTCGACAAAAAGTGACAGGGTCCCTAAGAGAGATCAAATTGGTCGGAAAAAATGATGGGCTTTCTAAGGGAGGTCAAATTGATCGTGAAAAAATAATGGGAATCCTAAGACAGGTCAAATTGGTCGCGAAAAAGTGATTGGGTTCCTAAGACAGGTCAAATTTGTCGACAAAAAATGACAGAATTCCTAAGAGAGATCAAATTGATTGATTGTCTTAAGACAGGTCAAATTGTTTGGGAAAATGTGAGGGGGGGTCCGAAGACAGGCCAAATTGATCGACAAAAAATGACAGGGGTCCTAAGACATGTCAAATTGGTAGGGAAACAATGATGGGGGTCCTAAGATAGGTCAAATTGGTCGACAAAAAAATGCCGGGGGTCCTAAGACAGGTCAAATTGGTCTGGAAAATGAGATGGGGGTCTTAAGACAGGTCAAATTGGTCGGTAAAATGTGATGGGGAGTCCTAAGACACGTCAAATTGATCGACAAAAAATGATAGGGTTCTAAGGCAGCTTAGACTGGTTGGCAAAATGTGATGGGGGTCTTAAGACACGTCAAATTGGTCTACAAAAAATGATACGGGTTCTAGAACCGGTCAAATTGATCGATAAGAAATTATAGGGCCCTAAGATAGGTCAAATTGATCGATAAAAAATGACGAGGGTTCTCAGACAGTTCAAATTGATCGAGAAAAAGTGATGGAGGTCCTAACACAGGTTACATTGGGTGCAAAAAATGACAGGATCCCTGAGAGAGATCAAATTGGTCGACAAAAAATTATGGGCGTCCTAAGACAGGTCAAATTATTCGATAAGAATTTATGGGGATCCTAAGACGGAACAAATTGGTAGGGAAAAAGTGATAGGGGTCCTAAGACAGGTCAAATTGATCGACAAAAAATGGTACGGTCCTAAGGCAGCTTAAACTGAAAAAAATGATACCGATTCTAAAAGCGGTCAAATTGATTGTTAACAAATAACGGGGCCC